GTAACGTATGGAATGTGTAGTTGGTGGTTACAGCAGATTTCACAGTGATGGATCTGTCTTGAAGCAGGAAACAAGGAGAAAACTATGGATACAAGTTTCGCAAGTGACCTTTTCTGATGTCTCTCCATGAAACTGAAAGAAGACCTCTAAGGATCGTTTCACCCATAAAATTATGTTGGAACCCATGCAAACTCTTGCCCACAGCCCGAAACAACAATACCTCACGCAGTTATTCAAATCAGTTTTTATTTATTTTCAACATTTTATTATTATTAAGTTTTCATCATATGTAATTCATTCATGCCAATAAATGTGTTGTCACGAATCTCCATTAGTTGATCGATAACAGCTGGACTGTGTTGTGAATAGATGTGTGCACTGGAAAACAAAGTATACGAATTAAATTGATGGAACTGACATAAAAAAAAGATCAGAATAATATCACCAGACAGTTTAGTAAAGTTCAACCTATAACAGTGTTTTGTTGCATAATAATGTGAAATGAATATATATAAAAAATCTAAATCATTATTGGGATTCTACGTTTATCTGGTAGTAGACTATCACTCTTTTGGTAAATGTACAAATTGGCAATTTGTATTTGGTTCATACAAAAGTGTGACTGGGTATCCTCATGCTTTGACTAGATATTTCATCAAACAGTCGATAAACGAAATAAAGTGGTAAATACTTACTCTAGGATCAGTTCTTCAAAGCCTTTTGACGGGCGGTCAGTACCGGTAGGCCTACGATCATTACATAAAACGCCGTGGCTTGATCCCCTCACATTCAAGACTTTTTATGCATTAACATTTATGTTTAACAATACATTATTGTTTCAATCTTTGTTAAACTACGCGATGAGAAACTGGATTTAAACGCCAAAAACAGAGGTTGAACACCCTAATCGCTAATGTCGAGGGAGCTAATTTCTGAAATGAGTTCTCATTACTACGTCTTCAAAGGTCGTTTCCGAACCTGGGTCGATTTTCGTTAAGACGGGTTTTAAAAATTCATAAGTAGAAAACTAAGTCCACTTTATGCAAGCGGTAAACGTTAAAAATCTTAAAAAAATATATAGAATCAAATTTTCCACAAAAATGTTTGCGTGATTTAAATAAAGGAAGATATCGCCCACTTTGAGAATCCCTGCCTCTAGCCTACCTCTCCATGCACCCAATTCTGGCAACTTTGGTTATGCATTTTTGGCAATTGACTCCAACTATAATCAGCTTGACAATATATTTTTCATAAAAGTTTATCTTTACTGTTCACCCCCATTTATAGAATCTATCAATTCGGCAGTGGCAAACAATATAAATTTATTAATATGGTGTGGCCAGTGATTTTTATTTATTTATTCATTTTTTTAACTACCAGTATGTAATTTATCATGTTCTTCTTACTTTAAAACTTCCCGGCATTCCCGCTTTTTGTAACATTTTCCCGCTTATTAGTAAAATTTCCCGTAGTTGAAATTTTCTGTAGTTCCCGCAATTTGACATTGGCTATTTGCCGTCGTTCCCACTTTTTGGTGCATCTCCCGTCGTTCCCGCATTTTAGATAAATTTTCACGTACATACACCCCCAAGCGTATATTTACCATTGCTTTTGCTTTCTAGAACAATTTCCCCTAAACATACTTCAAAATGAATATTTCCCGTCCCTGAAAGCAATATCCCGTCATTCCCGCTTTTTGTGAAATTTCTTGCTTTTTAGTGAAATTTCCCGTAGTTTCCGTCATTCCCGCATTTTAGTTTTTGCAATTTCCCGTTGCAATATGATGATTCACTTACTTGATTCAAACTTAAATCCCCGAAACACAACTAAAAACTAACGAATAGCATTCAAAATCGCAAAATGAGGTATTGTTTACAACCAAGACTGAAAAGTCTCGATTGGCTTAACGGTTGCGAAAAGGCATATTGTTACGTCACTTGTTCGCATCTTGCTGATTGGCTAATGTAACAAAATGAAAGAGGAAGGCGATTCTTGGAAAACGCCTTTGGAAAAATATTTTGCCTCTTTTCGTGTTATTGCGGGCCAGATGAAAGGTCGGTTTGGGGATCCCTGGTGTAATTGAAAGTGTAATTGAGCCCAAATTTTAGCAAATTACATTTACAATTACACAGACTGAAAATGCCTCAATTACATTACAAATTACATGAAAAACTGTAATTAATTACATCGATTACAAATCACAATTGATCCAACTCTGGTATATACTGGTAATTATGGTGCTCTGTCAGCGGGTTTGGGGTCGCTTGTTTAAATCATGTAGGGATAAGATAAGTTTATTCCGACTCTATATTCAGCAAAAAGGCGATAAAACGATTGGTAAGAACAAATAAATAAAAACTGATTATAAAATCAGGAGAGTAAACAAAACCTTGGATAAGGTTTAAAACGGACAGAATATAAGATGGAAGGTATTGCCAAAAAGAAGTGGTACGTGTTCACTCACCTAAAACTATTGAATCAAATCATTCAAACTCGCGCACACACACACACAACCATAGTGCATTAATAAAATTTTAAAAAAAGAGAAGCTTTAGTTAAATTATATGGTAAAAAAAAATAAACACATAAAAAAGAAATTAGATTAAAAGATGAAATGTAAAAAAAATAATATGAATTGTTTGCCACATTGTTTTAATAATTTTATAAAAATTCCCAAACAAGAGTGAACAGTATTTAATATGAGGACAAAAAAAATGATTTTGCCAAGCTGATGATAATTGAAGTCAAATGCCGAATTGCCCAGCCAAAGTTGATAAAGGGTCTGATGTAGTTTTGTACCTGCTAGTGGGCGTAGCAACTGTTTTTACGTGTCAATCCTAACCTCCACTTGGCCATTCCATCGGAAAATTACTCGGTCACCCAGACTGGATTCCATGGCAGGTGCACGCCCGAGGGCGCTAGCGCTCCGCAAAAATGCACGCGAGCGAAATCAATTTTGCACGCCGAAAATTTGCAATTGCTCATCAATGTAAATCGGTTTAAATGGTTTTAAAATCAATAATCCAGTAATATAAAGATGCCAAAATATTATAACTCCACAATTGTCGACAAATACCAGCTTGCAAGATTTGGTCTGATCGAAATATTGCGAAGCAAAAAGACCATGGACCTTTCCCCAACCTTTGACCCGCGAAAAATTCCTCTCATTGTTACGTCTTTTTTGCATCTTGCTGATTGGCCAATGTCACGAAGTAAACAAGGAAGTCGATGCTCGGGAAAGGTCCATATCGTGTTGAATGATAGGAAATAGGAATCCCGTGAGAATAGTTATGGACGAAAAGATCGCCTCCGCACCAATGGCCAAGTACGGCTCTGATTCAGCGTATTTTTCATACAATAATTTTACACAAATGTACTAAACAGTACCGGTATCTAAAGTTGCTCAAACACTCCCAAAATTAGTGACAAAGTATGAAAATAATGTTTGGGGTCAAAGGTCAAACGTCCATTTTTGCTCTAATTTGACGTATTTTTTATCCATTAATTCTACGTAAAAACACTACCAAAATTAATAACAAAGTATGTCCATTTTGCTCTGGTTCAACGTATTTTTTATCCAATAATTTTACGCGGATGTACTGAACAGTACCGGTATCCAAAGTCGCACAAACACTTTCAAAATTAGCGACAAACTGTAGAAATAATGTTTGGGGGCAAAGGTCAAACGTCCATTTTTTCTCTGATTCAACGTATTTTTTATCCATACCGGTAATTTTACGCGGATGTATTGGATATGATATGATTTACATATTTATCCCGGGGGAGAGGAAAGCCGATAAGACGGCTTATCCATATGGCGAACCACGGCCTCTCGTCCGGTTACCATTCCAAGTCGGGTATGGGATTAGTTATATTGTTTGTTTGTTTTCGGAAGCATGGACTTGGTGGTGGAGGAAGCCGTAACCGACCAGCGGTTCAAAAAGGCCATGTTCTCGTTCAAAAAGGCCATGAAATCCAGACTGGTACGGTCACTACGACGTCACAGTGACATATTAGAGCCCTTCAACATATACGAACTGTCATCCAAGACGCCGCCGTCTGCGCACCTAAAATCGAACAGCTATCCCTCTCGTGTTCTTGTCGCATCAATCCCAGTATGAGAAAGATCGCTGACGCTAGTCAGTTCTTCATCGTCGGCAACGGTGCCATTTTGAGCGATTGTTCGTATAGTTGGCAAGCTCTATAACGTGATTGTGATCTTGTAGTGACTTAATTTTTGGAGAGGGTAGTCTGTTAGGGGTTACGATTGACATGAGAAAATTTTTTTATGCTATGCCCACTAGAAGTATGTTAGGTACGAAACTACACGATACCCAGGATTGCTAGACTCGTCACTACTGTATGGTGGTTCACGTAACTGATGCTCAGTTACGAACTGGTACCGTAACCATTTGGGTCTAGTATAGTTTAGTACCACAAGTACTTCCAGTGGGCGTAGCATAACGATTTTTGCATATATGTTATTCCTAACCCTCACCTGACTATGCCATCCAAAAATTACGTCACTACGACGTCACCATCACGTCATAGGGATCGCCAAAGTATAATTACGATCGCCCGAAATGGCATCTGAGCCGCCGATAAGAACTTGCTAAAGCCGGCAATTTCTCTCCTATCGAGATCATTGCGACGAGAAAACGAGAGAAATAGCTTGCTCGATTTCGGGTTATCGTCTGCACGTTTTGGACGACCATCCGCATACTTCGGTGGGCCTTATTACGCCACTGTGACGTCGGAATGACATAATTTTTTGGTGACGTAGTCAGGTGGGGGTTAGGATTGACATATGCAAAAATTGTTGAGCTAGGCCAACTAGAAGTGGATGTGGTACTAAACTATACCAGACCCAACCATTTGAGGGAGGCCATGGTGCACCATATCATTTAGCCGTCTAATCGATTCTCATATTTTCCTGGATCGATATGTAAATCGTATACAATCAACATTGTAATAACATTGTAACCCTTTTTCATTCTTCTGAATATACAGATATAATACAGCATATTTGGTAATAAAACCTTACTAGTCGGGTATCTAGTTCATCCTCATTAGCTATGGCTGCAAAGAAGGGGGAAGTCATATACAGGCGACCTAAGATCGGATTTGAGGATCTTGACCCAGAAAGTTGGACGGATTTAGCGATCTGTGATGCTTATGATAAAGCTGTAAATAACGAGACCTTGGTAAAAAGGAGGCAGGCGATGGACGTTCCATCAGAACAAAAACGACATGGAATGGACTTAAACCAGAGTCCGGAGATGCAAATCACCGAAACATTGTTTGGACAAGAGGGGCTAACCTTGATGATAGTATAAAACCTAATAAAAATAATCCAATGTTTAGTTCTGATCAGGTCAAAAATGAACCTGATATGGTTTGGAAAGTAGGTGATGAATGTGTAGGTTTATATTATGAAGACGGGCTATACTACGACTGCACTATAATCTCTATAAACAAAAAGGCAGGCACTTGTGTTGTAGAATACAATGTGTACGGTAATCGAGAGACTGTTGAATTAACAGACCTACATGACGCAGAGAAATGGAATAATGAAATGTCAGCTGGGGGTAATAATTCTGCAAAAGATTCCGGTACGTCTACAAGTTCTAGTTCTTTTTACACAAGCAACACAACGTCGTCGAGCACTGAAGGAACATCATCTGATGTCACTCAAGATATTTATAGAAGTAGAGGAAACAGGAAAAAGCATACTGAAAAAAGGAAAACGCAAAATAATTCCCATCCTTTTCAAAATATGAGGAATATGGCGCCTCCTAGTTTTACTACAGACTCAATATTCGCGATGCCTCCCCAAAGTTTTCCCACCGGACATTTTCCCCCTTTTGGTCCATTTCCCAGCACTCAGTCACCAAAATTATCCAAATTACGAGATCTTAGTGATGATGCTCTATCTTCGATGCTTATGTCATGGTACATGGCTGGGTATCACACAGGTTATTATCAAGGTGTAAACTCTCATCTTTCAAGAAAAAAGAGGCATAAATAAAAAAATGCAGGATAATCCCGAGGTATGTGAACCAAGATGGCGAACACCGGAACGTAGAATGTGTACCAGGTTAGGGTTAGGCCATAATTTCAGGTACAAATACTATGGGAGTCACTTGGCTAGTCCCCGAACTCGTAATAAAACTAAAACAGGGAAAATTGTAATCAAATTATGGCCTAACCCTAACCTGGTACACATACTACGTTCCTGTGTCTGCCATCTTGGTCCACATACTTCGGAAGTACCAATTTGCAATGTCCCAGTGGTTTGTTTTATTGTTGGACTTATTAACTTTGGCAAAAATCTGTTAAAAACTTGTATGAAAAAAATTGTTTTGAGTGCCTACACAAGCTTAAATTTTGTTATATTGAGTATGTATGTATGTTTATTTGCCCTAAAAATGTAACATTCTCATCATAATAATTAAACAGTATACCATTATTGGCTTTTTTATAATTACACTTAAATAATAATAAAATAATTGGTGAAAAGTGCGATATTTTGTAGAAAGACTCTGCCAATGCTCAAAATAAGAAAATTTGTCCTTATCCAGTTAGAGTTAGGAATGCAGATTGTGAGTGTTTTTCTCAAATCCCATATTTTTTCATTATTAGTGGGGCTTTGTATAAAAGATTCCACTTTATGGGGCTCCACTATTAATAAAACAGGTATTTCAATAGTGAAGAGCTAGTAACAGGGTCTACAAGTGTTTGTTGAGAGTCTTTCAAAGGATATCACTGATGTATACAATGATTCGCCTGTGTTTTATATTGAAGTTTTTTTTTATATGGTGTATTCCAGCGTATCTGATACTTTTGGTCCCGTAGTATTCAAACCAAGATGGCGCACAACCTGAAATGCTATGTGTACCAGGTTAGCGTTAGCAGGTTGTGCGCCATCTTGGTATGAATACTACGAAAGCTCTGTACTTTTTTGGTCTAAAGCAGGGGTGCACAACACGGGGCACGCGTGCCAAATTTGGCACGCCATACGCTCAAACGTGGCACGCGGAGGGTTTTGTAAAAAAAAAAATTATTTATGATATACATTAAAATAACACGTTTATATCAAAATCAGCAGTATTTCGGACATTAAATTGTTTCAATAAATAGATATCCGTTATTATGTATTATTATTGAAATTTGTTTGTTTTGCGGGAGTTAATTTACAATACCACAATTGTGCGTGGCACGCGACAAGATTATTTTGAAAAATTTGGCACGTATCCTCATTCGAGTTGTGCACCCCTGATCTAAAGCACCTACGCTTTTTTATCTCCCCTCGTGGAACATTGAGAAATTTGACAGTAAAATTGGTGGATGGTTTCAAAAAAATGTAACGTATGGTGAAATTATAAAGTTTGCTGTAAACAATTAAAAAATTAGGCCGATGGTTAACGATATTGAACAATTAATGAAAAAACCATGCTTTCTAGGCTGTCACAAGGCCTGTCTGCATGTTTACATAGTGAGGCCTGTTTGTCACAAATTGGGAGACAAATTTACGAATTACAATTTCAACCTCTATTCTTCATAACACTTTGAAGAAGCTCGTGGAATAGCAGTGTTTCGAGGAACACAGTTTAGTAACCGCTTGGCTATTTAGTAGACAAATGTTCAAGTACAACTGACATTTATTTGTATGAATCTTTTTTATAATGATTTTTTCAATTATGACAGCCGGTATAAGGTTAGTCTTGTATAAATAGTTTGGATATCCCTGATTTGGTAAATAGCCTACAGAATATCTTCAAATATGCCAAAAACGAGAAATCAAACTAAAAAATCGAAAGAGGAGCAAAAAGCCAATCTTTCAGAGGATGTAGAGTCTGAGGGAAATAACCAAGACGATCACTCTACAGGTTTGTGATGGTTTGCTTTTGAAGTGAATTAATGACTCCACGGTGTGGCGCATCGTGCTAAGTGTTAGGATTATGCTCGCTACGGCACCTCTGATTTCCCTGCGTGGGTTCGAATCCCATGCAGGGATATTTATGTGCGAAAGGACTGCTGGACTCCCAGATGACGTAGGGTGGTTCATGTAACCGCTGGTCAATTATGGCTTCCTCTACCATCAAGTCCATGCCTACGAAAACAAATAGCAGGCTTATCAATCCCATACCCACTCTGGACTGGTAACCGGACGAGTGGTTGTGGTTCGCCATATGGTTAATAAGCCGTCTTATCGGCTTTCCTGTCCCCCAGGATAAATATGTAAATCCTATCCTATTGCTTTTATTTATTTACCCCACTGTCCTTTCTGTGAAACTCAAGTAGCTGTGTTTCACGGCTTGCCTATGTTAAAGTGGTCCATTCTCCTCTCTATGTTACAGGCCTAAGGCCTTCTACAACTGGTAACAATATGACTGAATACTAATACCGAGCTTTAAGTTAAGTCAGTTTGAATTTCAAAAATTTGCTCAGATGTAACGAATGTTATGCTGGAATTGCTCAAGAGCATTACTTCTGAAATGGTCGAGCGCGCCCCTACAAGCCAATTTTCTGAGGTGGCAAGAAGCTAATTGAAAATAAAAATATGTGTTAGATTTGATCTTGTCCGCCTAATTTTGGATATTTACATTTTTTATATAGTCAGCCAAAATTGACTGCACTAATATAAATAACAAATTTTTCTTGTCTTTAAAAGTTCATTATCTACGTCTCATCCACATATTTTCAGTGTGTTTTTTGAATAGATATACTTTCACTTTAATATCTGTTATTTGTAGATTATTGTAAGCTAGTTATTTTTGAGGTGGGGCGCGAGACTTGACAAATTCTAAAAATGGGGTGCGGCCTTGAAAAGTTCGAGAACCGCTGCACTAGATTATCTTCCTCATCACAGAATACTAAAATAAGATTCGTTTTATTGTAGATTCTTGCATTTGGGAAAACAGTCACCAGTTTTTTTTTACAATTTCAGATGGAGAAAATTGGCAGCATGATGACTCACTTTCAAATGAGCCGGAAGGCGTGGAAGATTCTGATGATGATTCTGATAAAGTTAATCATGATGATTCTGATAAAAATGAATCAACGCTCAACAAATCAGGCAGTTCTGATCATGGCTCACAGGATCTGATTCAATCAGACACTTCCAATGTGACTCTCGGTTCTCCCGAGGGTACGAGGCGACGCCAGACAAATGAAACCACCGAGAAAAGGAATGACGAAAAAGCCACAGGAAAATCATTCAATACCATGGAAAAATCGTATGACCGGCCCCCTCTGAAGTCAAAAGCTGAACCAAGTTTATTTATACAATTTTTAATCATCCTGATGGGGATCCTTGCAATTTCCATCCTCTTCACTCTATTTATTCAAGTCGGAACCGAACAGCATGAAGAAACGGTCCTCGAAAAATTCACGTCTAGAATCGAGGATTTGAGATCGCAAAGTACCCAAGATAAGAAGTTATGGAGGATTGTCAGGTGGGTTTCTTAGACTTTCAGAAAAAGCCACTAATATGAGAGGAGCTGTTATTTTTTTGTCAGAATCTTTTCGCTGCCGAACTTCCCATTTGATAAATGCACCATGGGATAGGTGGCAAGCACGGGGTTCGAATCTCAAAATGTTTTCGAACCTCAAACTCTGGACCATTGACCCTACAACAACCTTATGAATATGGATTATTTATTATAGTAACTTAACCCTCAACAAATTATCGTTTTTTACGCATCACAAGGCTCACTGTCAATAAATCACTTAGATTGGGTTTTATTACTTATCCATATCGATGGTATGTTGATAGGTATTTGTCTGTCTGTCTGTTGGACACTTTCGTATGTCAAGTGATATCTCTTGATTTTGGATGAATTATGTCGTATAATTAGTGAGTTATTAATTATTAGTGATAGGACACACGGTGTCACTATTGAGTAAGAACAGATGAATTGAAACCGCTGTTTCTGTTTTGGGGATCTTCTAACTTTCTACCCCGTCTCCGACCGATATTCTTGTTTATGCATTAGGCGCATCTGGACTATAAGACACAGTGGTTTGCATAAGCAGTATTGGTTTCGATTGTAGGCAATAAAGCATGAGGCACTACCTGATTCATAACTTAGCCGGACCGGCTTATAGAGTGCATCATCTATTTTTGAGAAAAAGGGGATTTGAAGTGAGTGTGCCTTGTGATCCGTAGAATACGGTATCATGATTTACATCTTTATAGTTATATTGTAACAAATCTTGTTTTATCTGGAGAACTTGATTATGGTTTAACAAAAGTTTAATATTACACTTGCTATGTCATGAAAGTGTTATTCACATAAATTGAGATGGTTACTCTTCTGCATTCAGGTCCAGCATGAAGGAACATATAATAGATGACAACCCATCCCAGCCAAGTGTCTTGATGTTACTTTCAACAAAGGAATCCGCAGAATCGAGAGAGGAATTAGCAAAACAGATTGCTGAAGCTTATTCAATCCGATGTCAGAACTCTGATGTCATCAGGGTGAGATTTTTCAAGGCTTATTCATTCTTAAATTTTATTTTTGTGCTTGCAACGTTCCAACCTGCTGATATAGGAATCCCCCCCCTCTTCTGAAAACTAAAAAAACGCATATCTCTGTATCGTACATACCAATTTTTGTAGCCTGACCTGACCCTCAAAACTCCTGAAAACCAACGTTTGACCCTCTTTGAAAATTCTCTGACCTCTGACCCTCTTTGAAAATTCTCTGACCTCTGACCCTTTTTGAAAATTCTCTGACCTCTGACCCTCTTTGAAAATTCTTTGCAATAGATTCTTGTATTGGCCCTTGGGGGGGGCCCGAAATATGCGAACCAAAAGGGCGGACATCGGAATGTAATATGTGTACTAGGTTAGGGTTAGGCCATAATTTTAGGTATAAATACTACGGGAGGCTCTTGGCTAGTCTTCGAACTGATAATTGGACTAAAATAAGGAAAATTGGAAAATAATTATCGCCTAACCCTAACCTGTTACCCATGTTACGTTCCGATGTCCGCCATCTTGGTTCGCATACTTCGGGAGCACCGGCCCTTGTTCAGAGTGGAAGACATGAACAAGAGTCGTATAACGAAATTGACAGATTACGATTCAACTTTTAAAATCATGTCATTACTTATCGATCTTGATCGGTAAGTATATTAATAGGTATTTGTTAGTTTGTTTGTCCGATAGCCACCTTCTTTGTTACGCGATATCTCATGAAAGCGAGGCTGAATCTGCTCCAAATTTTTATGTTCATTCATCATATCTCGGACCAGAAGCCCTAAGATTTTGGATGAATTATGTTGTATATTTAGCGAGTTATTAATAATTAGTGATGGGACGCTGATCCGATCGCTGTCTAGTTTTGCGTTTACCCTGAAAAATTACTCTAAAATATTAATCTTTGATTCAGGTTCGTGGATCGGAGTACGCGGGGATGAACCATGACGAGGCAAAAGAAAAAGTTGACGATGTCATCACTTCAGGATTCCTGGCGAATTCGTGTGCTGTCGTTATTTCAAATTTCGAAAAATTACCACCGGCCACTACCAAAGTTTTCTACCAATTTTGTGAAAATGATCTCGCTCCGTTCAAAAGAGTTGCTGTGATATTCACGCTTGAGGTATGTCTTGATTCTCGACTGGATCTCGTAATAGTGTTTTAACCCTTTCACTACCCTCGGGACATGAACGTCTCGAAAATTGTCTTTGACTACCGAGCTTGAATATTTGTGCTGAAAAAGCATTGGGATGGGACAAGGTGGTATTCTACAAGCATAGCAGGCCTTTATATTCATCCGCCAGCATGTTTGGCACTGCAGTCAGAAATTTTCAGATGGTTGGTATGATAGATTTCTGTTGTTCAATCTCACTGCGACAATTTAATCCCAAGAATAATTAACGTTGACACACACAGGCTCGGCGGTGTGGCGCATCGTGCTAGGCGTTAGGAATACGCTAGCCACCGCATCTCTCATTACTCTTCGTGGGTTCGCAGGTTCGAATCCCATGCGGGGATGATCAGGTGCGAGAGGATTGTTGGACTCCTCGCCGCCGTAGGGTGGTTTATGTAACCACTGGTCAGTTACGGCTTCCTCCACCATCAAGTGAAAATATACTCGCCTCCAACTTACAGACCTTGCTTTGAGCAGCCTAGCCTATCCAAGATAATATTTTGATACTCCCGAAGTATGTGAACCAAGATGGCGGTCACAGGAACATGTATGTGTACCAGGTTAGGATTAGGCCATAGTTTTAGGTGCAAATTGTGCGGGAGTCACTTGGCTAGTCCCCGAACCCATAATAGAACTAAAATATGAAAAATTGAAATAAAGATATGGCTAACCTGATACACATACTACGTTCCAGTGTCCGCCATCTTGGTTCACATACTTCGGGAGTACCAATATTTCTTTTTCTATCTTTTTGGGTTCAATATACCGACACTGATTTCTTTTTTTCAATTTCAGATTGAACCTGGGGAATGGGACCCAAATGGAACTCTACTGACACCTGGAGTCCCCCCAGAACCTCGTCTTTGGGACTCAATCGCTGATGCGTTCTTGTACCACTCGCTCGAGTCCCGTGACGGTACCGGCATCATGAAAAAAGACATGATTGGTGGATTGCTATCGAGAATAACTCCTGGTGTAGTTTGGGTCAAGTGAAGCCATGTTGAGTTTGGACTAAAAAATGGCGTCTGTTTGAGCATTTTGGACACAAAATGGTGTCGTTTATCTTATGCAATAAGTAGAATTGATTTTGATTTTCCAAAGTTCAATCTCTTTGCAATCATTTTGCTACAAAAGTCGAATTTCAGATAGAAATCATAAGTGATTCAAGAGTCTTGCTGTATAACACAAATATATTTCTGTAACGTTTCACGTGACCAAGGTCAGACATACATAGTTCATCTAGTTATATTTCGGTAATGTTTTATCTGACCTTGTTACAGTGATACAGCTGTGTTAATGTGCAGTAAGACACTTGAATCACTTAGGATAGTTATTACTTATCGATCTTAAGATCGGTAAGTATGTTGATAGGTATTTGTCTGTCTGTTTGTCTGTGTGTTAGATGCACGCGATATCTCACAGAAGTAAGGTTGAATCTGCACCAAATTTTGCATGTGCATTCATCATAGCTCGGATCAGAAGCCTATTGATTTTGGATGGATTATGTCTTATAATTAGCAAGTTATTAATAAATTAGTGATGGGACACACGGTGTCACTATGGAGTAAGACCACTGTTTTGGGGGATCCTCTAACTTTCGATTGATAAGTCTTCGGTTTCTAACCAATATTCTAGCCTTTACTCTTGCTACAGCATCCTTGCATTATATACATACGGATCCACCGGTACAAAAAAAATAGAAGAAGGATAGGTAGCTAGCCCCGCAGAGACCGATTCATCAGGATAGAAAATTCATATTTATAGCCCCTAGTCCACAATGATGTGAGATCAAGAAAATCCATTTCTGAAAAATGTAACATAAACTACTGTTTTTATTGTGGCGACTGGCGGTATGGTCAAAGCTTAATTACTGGTATTAGAATAATGAAGAATATTTTTATTGTGTAAGTCAGGGGTGTGCAAACTGGAGAAGTGCCAATTTTGAATGGTGTGCCCGCGAAACGAGTTTTTAGTTTAGGTATTCTTGTACGTACGAGCCATTTCAGTCCCTTTGTGTCCCCTATACCAGTACCCGAGTGCCACTGTCATATCAGCAAAACTAGCAAAAACATTTTTTTTTACCTTACACCAGGGCTACTCAACTATTTTTACCGAAGATCCGCATACAAAACTTCAAAAATATTTGGGTCCGGTCTTTCCAGAAATTATATTTCGGCATCTTTAAACACGCACTTCTTCGGGCGACTGATAATTATCAGTTAATCAAGATTGTTTATTACGGCGTTATAGTTCCTCCCCATATATATTTAAATCTATAAAAGTGATTTTTGATAAGAAAACTTCAAAAGTGGGGCTAACGATTCAAAATAAAGAATTAGGCGCGGTCCGAATCGAATACCCGAAAGGACCGCAGTCTGCCGGTTGAGTAGCCCTGCCTTACACTACTACAAATTATACCTTAAATAAAAGTGTGGCCCGCGGCTTCACTCAATTACTTGAATCTGGCTCTCTTGTATTAAAGGTTGATCACCCAGGTGTAAGTCATGAGTGTGCAGCCTTTAATACACGAGGCCCAGATATAAATAACTGGGTGAAACAGAAGGCCGTACATATATTCAACATAGTTTTTCTTGTAGATGCCGGCACAAAAATTTTGGTAATTGATCTTATGACATGCATTGTTCGCTTTGCACAAGCACAGGTAAAGGTTTTGCAACACAAAGGAATTGGAATTGCTTGGACGCAATAGATTAAAACTACCGTAAATTAAAAACTCGATTCGCAGCCACCATTCAAAATTAACACTTCTCCACAGGACACACAAATTTTATTTGTGGGACTCATTTAGCCGAAGGTCGTGAGTTGCGTGAGTTCCTGTTGTATATCATTTTAATCTGTTAACTCTTAATAACTTTAATTCTGAGTCAGTATACACACCTTGTTTTGAGAAATTCTCTTCAAAAATCCAATTCTTGTACCCGGATTCGATTGTAAATTTCCCGACTCTGGGCCGCATTGCAATTCATGCAGCATTTAATGTTCCAGCAGCTGTTGTGGAGCCTTGTTCAGAAAAGAAAATAGCTTTTCAAACCTTATGAAAGAGGATTTCTCTCATCTCAGAATTCATGCGAGAATATCGTAATAATTACGCCACTGTACTTTTGAAAACAATTTAGCAATTTTCTAGTTATTGAAACTTTTTTCATTTTTGCTGTTGATTTTTTTTCCTGTTCCTTCCAAAGCTAATGTGTTTCTAAGCATGTGGCTACTCAATAATTTACCTATAGAGAATTTTAGCACAAAAGAACGAAACCTGGGAAACTGTTCTAAAATACGGTAATTAAGCGAGCGTATATTTATGATTTTTGAAACTCTGTAACTTTTGCCAAAATACAGGGTTTCCATGAAGTCCCTTTTTAATTCCAATTTTGTTATGAAGTCAGTCCTTAGTATATCTTAACCAGGTTTGCTATTTTCAAGTATCAGTATCAGTTTCAATCAGTTCAAGTATTTTTATTTCATTTAATACATCTGTGAGGGCTAATACAATATAAATTCTTTTTGCAATTTTGGAAAATTTCAATTTATGGACACCAAATATATTGGTAAATATTTATTCAAACTATGATTAGATACCATCTATTGCCAGATAATATATTTAAAAAATGAACATTGTCATTTTGTATTGAAATTTCTGAAGAGCACATGTCTCACTGTAATAATTTCTGGAAAATTTTTTTTGTCTTGTAACCCTTGCTATGTTAAATTGTAAAATGGAAGGTACTCCCGTAGTATGTGTACCAGGTTAGGGTTGGGCCATAACTTTATCTTGATTTTCCTTATTTAGTTATATTACGAGTTCGGGGACAGAACTTTGTGTTAGCCAAGTGAATATACCCCCTGCCCATAGGTTTCAGTCCCTTTACACAACTTGATGTAAAATAGGCAAACAAAATTAGTTACCTCCATATTGGTTCACATACTTCTGGAGCACCAGATCGTAGACTGAAATTACATTACAAATTTGTTTGAATCGCGATGAGTTTTAATAAATTATACTGAATGGCAAGATGGCTATCGACTTTCATTGTGGGGGGTTTTCCAAGGAAGATCATGCGCCTGTTTCTTGTACATTTCGTATTATTGTACTACGTTGGTCGTATTATTGTACTACGTTGGTTTCCAACCGGGTTTCAGCGCATTGTTACCCAAACTTTGAAGCTCGCGGTCGCTTTCAATATATTGAAATTTTCAACGACACCTGTTGAGTCTGCATTTGTCATGCAATCGAGCGAGGGGTTTATGTTTTATATCATTTTCAATAATCGTGTTTCGAATCAACTTCTACGATAGAATGTTGGGGCACACTTTTGCGGCCCCCAAAATTGAATGCATGACCACCTGCGGGGTCGCGACCCTCAGTTTGGGAAGCCCTGACCTAGGGGTTATGCCAGTATTGTCCGGGGTAACTCAATTTTGCATTCAAATACGAGAGTCTATATTATTGGGTTTGCCGCTATTTATTATTAAACTTGCTTGTTACTTCCTACACTTAAAAGGATCATTTTGTTTTGCCAGTATTAGGTTTGCTTTTATATATTTATAATTAATTAGTTAATTTAATTAATTCAGTCAATAAACTATTACACAGGAGTTACCGAAGCCTCTGGAATGCTCCCCCCCCCACGGGTGTACCCAATAAAATGGACAGGCAATCCAAAATTTATAGGGGGAAGGAGCAGTTGCTTGTTGATTAGCAATACTTATGTTTTTCTTATTGAAATGTTGTTGTGAAAGAATGGTTTGCTCTCGCCTTATTGCAGAATGGTTGCTGTTAATCATTGTTTTATGTTTAAATATTTGCGCACGTAGCTATCAGAGTGATATCGCGGTTTTTCTATATCACAGTTTGGTTCTGAGGTAAACAAGGCGAGTCTATTTTGATCTGCAAAAATAATGATGTTATACATAGGGTACTGGGTCAGTGTGCGGTAACATGAGGTATTATTTGCATTACGGGGGAGAGGAAAGCCAATATGGCGGCTTAATGATATGTCGTACCACGGCCTCTTGCCCAGTGTGGGATCAGTAAGCCAGTTATTTGTTTCAGATCTATGCGTCGGCTTGATGGTAGAGGATGCTGTAACCGACCCGTACATGAACCAATCGTGGCAATCCTCTCGCACATAATTATCGACAACGGAATTCATATCTGCGAATCCCACGTATATTGAACTGCAGGTCCTTTTTCCTTATTCACTTCTCTTTGCGGAATCATATGTGGCAGTCGTCACAAGGATGCTAAAATGAGGTAGTATTAACATTTAAAAAGTCACTAAGTAGTTTGTTTTTCACCAATGCTGAAAGTACTAACGTACATACACACTGCAGAATATAATTAAAAATAGCATTTCAGTGTGAAGTCAAGTCAAGTCAAGTTTATTTTTTCCAACCAGTAAAAAACAAAAAACACATGCAAAAATATATAGAAAAAATGATATTTAAATTACTGGGGAAGGGAAGCCGCGGGGAACCAAAACTGGTTATCGAGCTGCGACACCCAAGGTTCTAACACCTAGTTAGACAGATCGGGGAGAAAATACTGATTATCGGGAAGCGATACGTGGGATGGAGTCTGAGAGATAACCAATGGAAGGAGATAATATTAGATCAAGGGCATTCAACTTTTTTATTCGCAATTTATTGACATGTGCGTTATATTACCTTATGGTCCGTAAAATACGGTAATTTATAGGCGCTCCTGAAGTATGTGAACCAAGATGACGCACAACCTGAAACCCAACCTGGTACACATATTATGTTCAGGTTGTGCGACATATTGGTACACAAACTTCGGGAGCACCCATATTTTTTATAAACTCAGCAATTTTACAAAAAAGGACAACACACAAGATGAAATTGATGAAAGTTGCCAAACCTTCAAATGGCTTTTGAATCTTCCATAATTCCGTGCTTATTTTCTAGAAATATATAGAAAATTGTTAAAACGAAAATCGGAAATGCCGGAAAAGACTGCAGGTGATTTTGTACTTTTTTTTCTAATGTTACTTATATGGTATTGCCAAGAAAAAGTGGCACGTGTTCACTCACCTGAAACAATTGAATCATTCCACATACGCTCATGCGCACCCACACACACGTCCATAGAGGAGTTATAAAAAGAGAAGAATACGATAAATTACATACTGGTAGTAAACAAAAAGTAAGGTAGTAAACAATTCCATAAATTTATTTACAGTTTGGAAAATAACACTGCACGACGCGCAGCACGCACTCTTGCTTTTGACGTGCTTGGTGTTTCACAAGCTTTTTTTGCATCAATTTTCAAATTCTAGACGATAAGGTGTCCCGGAATGGTTCAACACAAAGTTGGCAAGCCTGAACTTCCTGGTCTATAAGACACAGTTGTGAGACTCTTCACAGCTAATTGAGAGTTTCATGTGAAATGCAATTCATAAAAATTCAAATGTTTCCTTTTTCTGCTGTATCTTTGAGTAACCATTTAATTCAATTACTGCAAAATACATTATATTTACACATTTTTTAACTTTATATCTTTGTTTTTCATTAATTCAATTACTGCAAAAGACAGTATATATTACAGTATTTTTTTAAAACTTTATATCCTGATTTTCAGTGCCTGAATTCCAGTATGTTCCTGGGAAGAAATTTGTTGTTTCTGATGAAATGATGAAAGCTTACGAAGAGGATGGATTAATTCTGGTCAGGTGAGATTATTGGAAAATATGAAGACCCCCCCCCCCCTACCCCAAAAAAGCTTTATACCTATTTAGGGGGTGGGGAGAGGTAGGATCTTTATATAAACTAGCCTGGGCTCGGGGCTGGGGCAGGAGGTCATATGAGTGCTTAAAACCTACTCAGGGGGTTGATAGGGGTAGAATCTTTATATAATCTAGCCACGGTAAAGGGGGGATTAAGAAGGTGAGATTAAACAATATAAGACTTTATGAACACACCTATATTCTAAATTTTCTCCCCCCGAAAACAACAAATATCTGCCATGGGGGGAAATGCCCCAAAGGTTGAGTAACGCTGACTCAGCGCTCAACTCAACGCTTTTCAAATTTGCTGGTTACTGGTTGACCATTTCATTAAACAATTTTATCATTTTTTCCCCTCTGGGATAAATATAAGAATCCCATCTTGAATATTTGAAAACCTTTATATTTACAGAGGTTTGATGACAAAGCCAGAGTTGGATAAACTAGAACTTTGTCTACAGAATGGAGAAGTTGTGAAACATGCGTTTGATTTGCCGGATGACAAGGCCAGTGTCAAGATGGTAATCTGGAATCATCCGGGAGATGACTATACAGGCATGATTGGGAGAATGGAGAGGATTGTGGACACTGTGGAAACGGTGGGCTAATTTCATTGTATGGTTACTTACTCTTTTCAACTTAGTGCAAAGTTTGGATATATTGTAGAAAGCCCTTCACATTTGCGCAAATATGAGATTTGGGATAAACACCCCCCAGCCCCTGGTTTGTATTCAAATCCAACGAGTGATGAGGGTGTATTTTGGTGGTGGCTTTCCACAAAAGACCCCCAGATAGTTGCAAGCAATTACTGGTGTTCTGTAAGAGGTATATGTTTGTTGCTTTAAACCAGGCTTCTGCCACCACGAAGTCCATACATCTGAAACAAATATCTGGTCATTCTCATACCAGACATGGACATGTAGCCAGAAAAAAGTCTTTATCATATGATAAAGCCACACAGTTTAATCATATGGCGAACTACGGCCATTTGTCCATTTACAGGTCCATTTCGAGTATGGGATTAGTTAGCCAGTTTTTGTTTTCGGAAGCATGGACTTGATGGTGGAACAAGCCGTAACTGACTAGCAGTTATGTGAACCACCCTACAGCGGCAAGGAGTGAAGCATATCCTTTCACTCATAATTATCCCCATGGGATTCGAACCTGTGAACCCTAACCTGTTATGTCAAAATACTTTGGTCTAACTCTTTTATATCAATTTTAGCTGCTTGGAGGAGAGGTCTACCATTATCACACAAAGATTGTTCTGAAGGAAGCACTAACTGGAGGCTCATTTGCTTGGCATCAAGATTATGGGTGAGTTGAAGGGGTTGGACCCAATGGTCACTACCTAACCCAGGGTGTAATGAATTGGGTATCCAATACCCAACTTGAAAGAATGGTTCTTCTTTGAACTCGCAGTTTTTGAAGCAATAACGAAATTATTAAGCTGTAAATAGTGGTTTCAAACAGGAATGTTTAAGGGTGAGTTCTAAAATTTCTAATTTACAAGTTGTAGTAACAGTTACTAGCTCGACCAGCTGGAAAACACAGGTTTTCAAGAGTGTTGGGTCTAAAATGTATTTATACTTACAAAAGAATGCCCGGTATGATACAGAAGAAAAAGCTTTTTTCACATTTCATAAAGGAGAGTTCAACCGTTACATCCGCAAACATGTACTCTCCTATTTTTGAGCAGTGTGATGGTTTGACGTCAGTTTTAACTATGTTGCATCACAAAAATGACAGAATTAGAAAACCTGAATCTTTTGAGAATGTCTTTATGCGACTTAGATCATGTTAAGTAAGTTAGATTGCGTACCAAAGCAGCACCACTTCTTTTGAAATCACATTTTTATTTAAAATCTGTATGGTTTTACTTAGGGTTTTGTTCGCTCTCCTGATTCCATAATCAGTTTTATTTATTTTGTTTTTATCGATTTTTTGTCGTCTTTCATGCTGATTATGGAGTCAAAAATAAACTTTTTCTTATTGATTTTACACTCCTACACACCGTCCCTCACAAACAAGTCTAAAAAAGGTTCCCGCGTAGTTTAGTGCCACAGCAACTTCTAGTGCATGTTGCCGAACAATTTTTGCATTCCCAACCCTCACCAAACTTTGACATCTAAAAATTACGTCACTATGACAGTACTTATGGTACTAAACTACACCAGACCCCAAAAGTGAAACTGGGTAAAAGTTGTCTAAATAAATCTTTTCAGATATTGGTACAAGAATGGTCTCTTATTTCCTGACCTGATGTCTGTCTCAATTGCAATGGATGACTCGGACATGGAGAATGGCTGTCTGAGGGTAATGCTTATTTCTGTCAGTTTTTTTTTCATTTATTTTTTTTTTTACATACCAGGGGTGGCCAATCTGCTTTTGACCGCGATCGATTAAAATCTTTAAAATAGTCGGCAATCAACTGACCGGTAGTTAATAAGGTCATACATATAAACTAATGCGTACTAAATATGCAGATAACTGCACACTCGCATACAAAAAATTCATATTTTCCATGTTTTCATTCAATTTGTTAATTTGAATATATAATTGTACTGGCGTAAATGTTTTATCATTTATTTCAGATTTATTCAAATACTGTAATACAATTCAGATCTAAGGCATGCCTAATTATTTTTAGTCATGAGTGTTGATATTTCCTCATAAACAAACAAAGTTATCTTTATTAATTCTATATTTTTGAACATTGTGAATTCCAGACACAAAATGCACATGGAGGCATCTCGGGCGCTTGTGAATAATTTTCAAACTTCAAAGCCTTGTGCAAATAATAAAACAATAAATGTTATTTAATATTTTATTTTATCAATCAGGTTATCCGAGGTTCTCATAAGCTTGGAAGAATTGATCATGGTAGAGTAGGCGGTCAGAATGGTGCCGACACGGACAGGATTGTTGAGGTTTGTAATGTTTAAATATTATTAGGGAATAAAATAACTCATTTTACAAAAATTTTTTTAAAAGTGCGCCAAAGCGCCAAGAAAAATATATATCCTGTTCAACCTATTTTAAAATATGAATTATAGTTTGTAATATTCTGTTGAGAAATATAAATATCTAAACAGAATGACTCGTATTCGTCACAAACAAATCATCAGTGGAATCAGGATAGGAAAGGATTCACATTATTATTCCTGGGGAGAAAGCCGATAAGACAGCCTAATTATATGGCAAACCAGGGCCTCTCGTCCGGTTATCATCCCATGTCAAATATGGGATTCGTTAGCCAGGTATTCATTCCAGATGCATGGACTTGATGATGGAAGAAGCAGTAACCGACAAGCAATATTTAAACCATCCTACGGGGGTGAGGAGTCCAGCAATCTTCTTGCATATAATTATTCAGAGGTGCGGTGTTGAGCGTATTCCTAACGTTTAGCACAATACGCCAGGTAATGTAATTATCTGTGATTAGTTCTGCAGTGCCTAAGGCTTAATTATTCTTCCGCACCGAACAAGGCATTATGCAAGCAGGACTGCCTTTGGGAGCACAGAATATTCAGTTTCACTTTATTCTTACATTCAGTTCCAGTACAACGAGTTCCCCAACAAGTTTCCATTTTTGTTTTCTAGATTAAGAAAGTCATGGAAGAATACAACGTGGTTCTGAAAGCTGGCGATGCCATTTTCTTTCACTGCAATGTGCTGCATACAAGGTCAGTGCTTAGTAGTGGCGCTTATGATTTTTTGTTAGATTAAATATGTTAAGCATACGCTAGTATCGCGCTTCCGATTACTTTGTATGGGTTCAAATCCTATGGGAGATAATTGTGTGCGAGAGGATTGCGAGACTTCTTGCCATTGTACAGTGGTTCATGTTACTTACTGTTACTCAATAACTCATCACTGAGAAAAATCATCACATCTTTGGTCTAAAATTCTCCCATTGGTGCCCTTTTAATTTTTCAAGACTTTTCTATGAATAATCTCTCCATTAGGCTTGGCAGTGTGGCACATTGTGCTATGCGTCAGAAATACGCTCGTCACAAAAAATCATTGACAAACACTGCACTGCCAAGAGCAGCTAAAATCATACCGACATGTACTGGCAACTGGGCGAGATATATGGTATGAGTATGATTAAACTGTTTTAGAGGCAGCCACTGATATCTAATAATATGTTCAAAGCCAATATTTTTTGTAAGGAATGAAATTTAGGTACTCCTGAAGTATGTGTACCAAGATGTCGCACAACCTGAATCCTAAACTGGTACACAACCTGAGTTCAGGTTGTGCGCCATCTTGGTGTGTATACTTCAGGAGGTCCGAAATTTATCTGCTTCAGTATTGCCTACACATTTTATTACACCATGGTGGACTGGTGGGTAAGGACCTGCGATGCAAACTCCATGTCTAATGATTCAACTGCTTGGCCTTTGACCCCACTGAAAAGTATTATTTTGTTCATTTTTCAGCGCTCCGAACACATCAACTCGAAGACGTTATGCTATTATTCCCTGTTACAACAGAGTAACCAACGATGCATATTTTGATCATCACCATGCCAGAGTGACAAAGCTAAATAAGGTCAGTCATCTCATACGAATGGATAGGATTTACATATTTATCATATGACAAACCATGGCCTCTCGTCCAGTTATGGTACCAGTACACGTCGGGTATGGGATTAGTTTGCCGGTTATTAGTTCCGGAAGCATAGACTTGATGGTGGGGAAAGCGACCAGCGGTTACGTGAACTACCCTACGACGGCAAAAAGGCCAGCAATCCTCTCGCACATAACCACCCCGCATGGGATTCGAACCTGCGTAGGGTACTCAGGGGTGCAATGGCGAGCTTATTCCTAACGCATTGCGGCTGCAGGGTGCTTCCCTTAACCGCTGGTCAGTTACTGCTTCCACCACCATCAAGTCCTGGCTTCCTAAAACAAATACCTAAATAATCCCACATGTGACATGAAATTTTAACTGGACGAGAGGCCGTGGTTGGCAATATGGTTAAGCCGTCTTATCGACTTTCCTCTCCCGGGGATAATCATGTAAATCCTATCCTAAATCCTATATACAGGGTCTTTATAAGGTCCCTTCACAATTTCAATTTTGTTATGAAGACAGTTCTAAATAAATCTTAACCAAGTTTGTTGTTTTTTTAATCGGTAATTGTTTTTTACTTCATTTAATACATCTGTGAGGGCCAAAACAATATAATGTATCCATAAATTCCCTTCGCAATTTTAAAAAAATTTAAGATTTCATTGACACCCTGTATATTCATTTGTCCAGGTTCCAGACTCCGCTCTTGAAACCTGCAATGAATTTAGGAATATGGAAGGAAAATGGTTCATGGACCCAGCGATTGATAAAACCATCATCGCAAAGAAAGTCAACAAAGATGTTGAATCAAAGATTGAGCAACCGAGCGAGAGTTAGAAAGGAAATTCAAATTTATATGACCGTCGTATCATTATTATATGTGCATAAAACCATCAAGTATAAGTTTATTTTGACTTCATAATCAGCATAATAGACGTTGAAATAATTGATGAAAACAAATAAAAAACTGAATATAGAATTAAGAGAGTTGATAGAACATCATGGTAAGTTTTAAAGCGTACAGAATTTTAATTTTCTGCCAAAAAGTTTCCCAATAAAGGTAGTACATTTTACTCAAGGTGAATTACATATTGAATCAATTAATAAAAATTGCTCGCCACACCATATTACCAATTTTATATCGGTTGCCAATGCCAACCTTTCATAGAAGTTCATAATTGAATTGTTTCTAAAACTTTATATTGCTATGAACATTTAAATGCTTAAACAGTAAATTTATAAATGTTCGAATTGCCATATTTTAAATAAATCAAATCACCCAGCCTGATTAGAAACAAGATATTCGTGTCCACAATGAAGCTGCTCGATATAGAGTTTTAGTTTTCACTCTCTTCACCCTGAAATGCCATATTTACGTTTTTTTTTCTATTTCTATTATTTGTGTAGTGTATTTTCGGTATGATTGAAACAGACTGACTGCCTGAATAGTTTGCTCATGATCATATTTTTACTTTCCAAAAATGTTGAAATTCACAAGAATAATATAGTTATTAGAGTACTAATAAGATGAATAAAAGTATTTTCTGGTCGTTTCCACTTCAATTTGTAAGGTGGTAAATTGTGCATAAAATAAAAACCTTTTCTGACCCGTCTTATAATCTTTTGTATCTCCCAAGGATAAATCTGTCCTTTTTCTTTTGTTTGAAAATTACCTCAATACTGGTGCAATAATGTGATTTTTATCGAAGTAATTATCAAATAAATTGATTTTAATTATACTTGAGTTGTTTAGCTTTCTGCAATGGCAGATTTTTTACGATTGTTATGGACACAGGTGTGTTTTTGTATTTCTAGTTTATTTCCATTTATCGTATTTGAGAGAGTGAGAATTAGCGATGTCGCAATATGTTTATCTTGCACGCTATTGGTTGCGGTATTTGACCAGCGACGAGACTTGCTCTTAGTTAGTTTCCTGTGTTGCTCTTGTTGTGCGTGAGGGGATTCAGGACTGTGAGTTGTGTGAGTTTCGAGGCTCCAATCCGTGCGTTACAGGGATGCCAAAACAATTGATTCTAACAACGCTTTAACCGGTAGGTAGGGCTGGGCATTTTCGAATACCTTGTGATTTTAGAATCGAATCGAAGAATTTTTTCGAATCGAATCTAGAATACTTGGAAATATATATTTGTAAGCGACTTTATTATAGTAATTAGTCCTCTCAACAAATGAATTACTGAAGACATAGAATAAATCACTCAGATAGATTGCTGAGCGTTCACACAGAATAACAAACACGTTTTATCAATAACTCACTACAGAAAATAGTCATATGTTAGAATTTCGTTGAAAAAATATGACTTCAATGAAAAAAAATTGGGGAATTCACCTCGACCATTAGCGGAAAGATAGAAACAAGATGGCGGCGATTCAAAATTTAGCTCTGAAACGATTGGAATAATTTACTATTCGATTCGAAATGCCCAGCCCTACCGGTAGGTCTCGTTTAATGACTATTAGCCTTGCTCGGTGGCGCTCGAAGGTTTTTAATTTTGTATGTATTTGGATTTCTTTTTGTTCCGCTGTAAACTTTTTTTGGGGGCTCTCGAAGTATGCGAACCAAGATGGCGGACATCGGAATGTAATATGTGTACTAGGTTAGGGTTAGGCCATAATTTTAGGTGTAAATACTACGGAAGGCTCTTGGCTAGTCTTCGAACTGATAATAGGACTAAAATAAGAAAAATTGGAAAAAAATTATCGCCTAACCCTAACCTGTTACCCATGTTACATTCCTATGTCCGCCATCTTGGTTCGCATACTTCGGGAGCACCCTTTTTTTTCATGATAGTCGACTCCTCTCTCCAATATATTAATTACTGTTAGATTTAATCATGGGTGTCGCTGCTGGTAAACCAGTTTTGGTTTCTCGCGCCACCTTTTACTCCGAAATGCCATATTCGAGTCTCTTCTTTCTATTGTTCGCATGAGGTGTATTTTCTTTATGGCGATGAAATAAATACTGATTAGAATCAAAACTTAGTTGACAATAAGTTTTTCAAACTGAACTGAAACAAGAGCAGTTTATTGAAGTTTTTTTTTATAAGTGTCGCTCGTTCACACACGTTATTCACTCTGAGCTTCATATAGTTTTAAAACTTGTTTTTCTCAAGTTCGGAGCTGGAGTGGGGGGTTTAAATTTCGTTCACACTGAAATCAGAACGAGGTATTGTTTATTAAAGTTTTCAATCAACGCTTATCAAGCCTTCTTTCCACTCTCACTCAACAAGGCCTTTTACAAGAAACTACTGACATCTAACATCGTGTAAGAAGCTGAAATTGTTTTGAAAAAACAGCATCTTTCCAATTTGTCATTGCAAACCTCATTTATTACATGGAATAGGATTTTACATATTTTTCCCTGGAAGAGGAAAGCAGATTATACGGCTTAACCTTATGGTGAACCACGGCTGCTCGCCCGGTTACCAGTCCATATTGGGTATGAGATTAGTTAGCCAGTTACTTGTTTTCGGAAGCATGGACTTGATGGTGGAGGAAGCCGTAACCGACCAGCGGTTACGTGAACCACCCTACGAGGAGTCCAGCAATTATCCCAGCATGGGATTCAAAACTGCGAACCTACGCAGAGTAATCAGAGGTGCGGTGGCGAGATTATTCCAAACTCTTAGCATGATGAGCCACACAGCCGCACCAGATCTATAATCCAAGGCAACATAGTTAAATCTAATGCTAGTCTGCCAAGACACTCAGATTAGACGTCTGGTGTAAATTTTAACTACAGGCTGTCACAGCAAAAACTTTTTTCACGATAATGACTCAATTTATCTTGGTATTTAAAATTTTAATTAAAAAACATGAAAATCGATTCCATTACGAGATAAAACATAAAAAACAAACAAAACTCATAAAAATTGAGGTAAAAGACACAAAACATGCAAAATTTACACACAGAAATATTCGCCATAAAACAGTGTTCCCTTATCATAAAATCCAATTGTCATTCTAATGGATTAGTTGAGAATTCAATAAAAATTAAAACTTTTCAGGATTTCATGTAAAAGTTGGATTCAGAGATAAATATTAAATATATATTGTCAAAATCATCTCAGAAAATTTTGGAATTTAGAAACAATATTCAAACCTCTAAACCCTAACTGCGAACATTTTTTTATTAGAAAATTTGGTTAAAGGGAGGGAATGTACGCTCACTCAGAAGTTAAAGGGGGCTCATATCTGAGCAAAGTAACAGGCACTCATTCAGAAGTACTCATCTCTCAGTAAAATTATGAGCACTCACTTCCAAATAAAAGAGACCCATCTCTGAGCGCAGTGAGAGGGGAAAGAAGAGTTTGAGAAGGCAAAGGTAGGAATGTATCAGAAGTTTGCTCTCTTTAAAATAGCGGCTGAAACAATCTCAGTGACACATCTATATAAAACGGTGACCGTACATTTGAACCCATACATTTTCACCCCGTATATTGGCGGGTTCAGTCCATATGTGGGTGCTAAAACCCATGGAGTAAGGTTGGTATGGGTTCAAATATCCATAAAACAAAAAAAAGTTCCATAGGTGCAATTGTCATGGGTTCAAAAGTAATGGAACCATATAAAACTTCTCATTAACTTCCAGAAACTAACTGGGAGTCTTTTATGCGTAGTGGGGAGGGAATGGAGAGTTTAAAAATACACAAAAAGGGAATGTATTAAACAAAGTAGGAAAGCATTGCTATAAAATAAATAATAATAGTTGCAACTCGCATAATAGGGTTCACAGGATTAACATATGCATCAGGGGAGAGGAAAGCGATAAAGCGGGTTAACCATATTATGGGGAACCACGGCCTCTCGTCCTGTTACTCATGTCAGGTATGAGTTAAGTAGCCAGGTATTTGTTTCAGATGTGTGGATCTTAGTTCACATAAATAAATATTCCGCATTAACTTTAAGAAAAAAACTCATGGTTGAGCGCTTCTTTCGCAGACAACCTAGTGAGAGGATTGACGTCCAATAATTTATTCAGCAAATCGTAAGCAGAGGCCGGGATGGTTTCCAAGGGGTAAGGGGGAACGTAGACGTGTGATGCCAATTTCTGTGTTTTATTCTTTGTGAAGGTACTAGGACTGTTCGATGATGCTGAGTGTTGGATTGTAGACGCAGGTTTGATGAAATCTGTGAAGTAAAATGATGGATATTGCTGTTACTGAAAAAATGCATTATTTTTATTAAAACTCCACTTTGTGGGTTTTTCACGTTCTAGGCAACTTATTTTACTGTCAATAAATTGCTTAGACTGGGGTTTTGACCACGCCGGACTATAAAATCTGACAGGTACTGGTTTTGAATGCAAGAAAGAAAGAATAAAGCACTATCTGATCCATACATTAGGTGCAACGGCTTATTAGGCGCATGGTCAATTTCCCAGTGAAAAAATGGTTATTCCCCAACGCTACGGGTGTCACTTGGCTAGTCCCCGAACTCGTAATAGGACTGAAATGAGGAAAATTTGAATATCAACAAATGCACTTTCACCCATGGATGCAATCCCCTGACTGAGGACCCCCAAACGTAAGCTGTGTAAAATCACAATTGGATTGAGGGCAGATTTTAACTAAAATCCCAATTCTTACCCTCTTTTTTCTCCTCTGAAATTATTCGAAATGTTTCCACAACATTCTTCAAATTATGACCAGAACAGAAAAAAGGTGATGTCAGTTTTTTACCTGAAAACAAAATGAAGAATTTATAAAAAATGTACTCAAAAAATCGGACATTTGGTGATTAAGATGACCTCTAGTGGTTGGTTTACATCTCTGATGCCAATTCTAACATTTGACTTATTTGCTCACATATAGAACTCTATAGTGACCAGTTAGGTTACATGATGAAATCCATAAATTTCAAAAAGACTAAAGATTAGCATGATGGGTTCATGCAGGGCAGCGGTTCCCAACCAACGGGGCCACAATGCTAGTGCAAGGTGAAAGACTGATTTAACTATTCCCTTCACAAGAAAACTCCGTTCTTCCTAGCTTTTCACATATCATTAGATATAAATAAATGACTGAACAGGAGGTGAAAAGCTTGCAAAACTGACAATATATCTATATACATATATATATACAAAATTTGCACTCTGAAGTAAAATTATCATCTGTAATCTCAAGAATTAGCTCACCGTAACTATATGAAACACTGCTAGTAAATCAGTGAGTAGGCAGTTGTTGATACAGAAAGAATAAGGGTCAAAGAAACAACAAAATTATCCACAGGTTCACTTCTTGCCCAAAAAAAAGACTAAAGCATAGAATAGAAATAGGCTCACCACAACAGCGAGCAATTTTCTTAATTTTTTCTGAACCAAACACTGCTATCATTTGTGCTAGAGATTCCATATCATCGGACGGTTTGAAGAATGGGTATCGACCTGTCAGTAGCGAAAGAAACATAACACCGGCTGACCAAACATCCACAGCTGTAAAAACAAGAATATTTTTGTGAGATTCATACAATACCCTTAGAAAAAAAAAAGGGGATATTTTCATTAAATACTCAAGAACAGGGGGATGTTTTTATCCCACAATCTCCCAGCAAGAAGGAGGTGGGTATCGGTCATGTGACCGCTTACGTGTTTCGGTGTGTACGGCAAGTTACAATTTGTAAGGTTGGCTTATATGTGAGGATATATCGCAGTACCATATTCGTTTTCTTACCCGTGGTTTGATGAGGGCATCGGATCAAAACTTCTGGGGCTCTGAATCCCGACGTACCAGCTCTTGGTGCAACGAGCTTACTGAAAAATAAGTCAGAAATGAGAAAAAAAAGGAATTTTTTGCAAAGTATTCACACATATATCATGAAAAAGGGTCTTCAAATGGCCACTGATATACTGATTTTGTAAAATAAAACAGAGATGGAAAAAAAGATAAATTTGGACAAAGTTATCACACGCTGGCTTCGAAGGAGGTGTCTGCTTGTTGTGACTAGAATAGAATATAGTAATATTTATCCTGCTTGTCTAGATACCAAGAGTTCGAAAACGAGTAAAAAAAAAAAAACCTTGAGCATTGTTTCCTATTCGTTGATGCGGCTTTGACCAGATATCTCGTGTCCGAGATTTTGTTCGAATACTCGGAAGTACGTCCCCGATTGTTTTTCCAGAATTTGGCTGACTTCGCAGCGTACATCCAGCTAATGGTGAAGTAATTCCCTTTCACTGCTTACACTTGCTGGGGAGGGTGTAGAAGCTTGGGGGAGGAAAATGGGGATTCCCCTTGGTTCAAAACCGGGACGGTAACGGAATGTTGGTCTTGGAGTGCCGGTGAAACGCTCTGATGAGCATTGTGCTAAATCAAGCATATCTGGTTTGATGCAAAGACGCTTGTGCACTAGAAAAAAAAAAAATTACGTAAAAGTTGCGGAATTTAGGATGTCCAACTGGTTAAAGCAGTGATGTGCAATCTTTATTAATACATGAGGGCCAGCTAGAAAAAAAATTGGTGAAACCGCCACCCGCACGGTGCCGCACCTTAACATGTTTTTTCAGGTCATTGATCTTGTGGTATGCGTTGTTTGGACCAACTAGCTGTTAATAAGGCATTGTAACTTTCTAGGCATAGATAATAAATTGGACTCAGGTATAGACTTTGCAAGGCAAAGGGATCGGAATTACTCTCACATACTAGATTAAATTAAAAACTTGTGCTAAAAACTAAATTTTATTCGCAATCTTAACAAATTTCTTGAGCTATTTTCAACTAAAACAAAAATATTTGGTTTTAGTTTGGTTATGGCAGCATCAGGCGGGCCAGATTGAATTACCCAACGGCCCGAATTTGGCTTGCGGGCCACAGTTTGCCCATGTCAGGTATAAAGCCTTCTTTGGAATATTATAAGTAAATAATAATCGTTACGTGAAATAAATTCCAATCGAATGGTACCTGGAGTTCCGGTAGTAATGTTATTCTGTGCAGGCTTCAAAGATTCGTCAGCTGGTCGTTTACGAGCCCCCACTGCGCTTAATCTATTAATATTCTTCGCCATGGCAACCATTGAAGAACTCCGAGTGTGAAGTGGTGAACGCGAACATGTCACGCTTCCTGATTTCTTGATATGCTTGACTGATCTTGCCCTGACAGGTTCGGAAACAGGAACTGATCTTGTGCGAGTCCGCTGTTGTGATATCATTCCGCTGTGGGTTTTGGACGGCTTGTAAAAGTGAGCGTTGTGCGCTAGGCCAAAATCAACCAGTGCACAGCTGTAAAGAAAAAAATTGTTGGAAATTGGAATTTGGGTACAATGGCCGGTACTCCCGTAGTGTACCTATCAGGTTAGGGTTACGCCATAATTTTATTTCGATTTTCCTTATTTTAGTTTTATTACGGATTCGGGACAGTCTGTGTTAGCCAAGTGAATATACCCCCTGCCTATAGGTTTCAGTCCCTTTGCACAACTTGATGTAAAATAGGTGAACAAAATTAGTCACCTCAATATTGGTACATACACTTCTGGAGCGCTCAATGGCCTAGGTTAGTGGTTTTCATTTGGGTTCCGAAAATTTTTAGGTTTGCTTTTATATAAATTTATATTTTATACAATTCACACAATTAAATTGCAAGCGGCTCTTTGTCTTCGTACCTCTGGCGCCCATGAATTAAAGTGGCTCTAGTGCTTTTTTGTTAGAAGCAGTGGGGATTCAATAAAAGTTGGGGTCGCAAAACTTGATTACTACTCACTAACTACACATCATAGTAGGTATAAGTCGAGAGCGGTAAAAAGGAGTCGCTTTTGTTCCGAGAGTTCACTGACATTAGAGTAGAAATTGGAGGGAGTAGTTATGATTTGTATTTGCTGAAGTATTAGTGATAACGTTTATTATTATCATAATACTTATTTAAAAACACAAGTTAAACTACTTGAACTGTACAACATGGAAGTGTGATATAACACTGGCTAAAGATCCAAACGAGAATATCGGTCAAAGACCGAAGACTTATCGATCGAAAGTTAGGGTATCCCCAAAACAGCACTCTTACTCCATAGTGACACCTTGTGTTCAATCACTAATTATTTAATAACTCGCTAATTATACAACATAATTCATCCAAAATCAAGCAGATTTGAAGCAGATTCAATCTCGCTTTCGTGAGATATCGCGTGCATCTAACAGACAGACAGACAAACAAACAGACAGACAAATACCTTACATACTTACCGATTAAAATCGATCGAATAAAGTAGTTTTCCTGCATAGTGAGGGAGGAATAAAGATTACCAAAATAGACAAAAGGGGGGACTTAATAAAAAAGACTGGGAACCACTGATTCAGGGAGAAACAAATAATAAAAACACATTTAGTCCACCCACCTTCCGGATTTATAATCGTAAAGAAAATTACTCGGTTTGACATCTCGATGTATCACATTGAATTTGTGGACTCGCCGTAACGCTGTCAATAAATTACGCATGTAGCAACGAACACCTTCCAGAGATAACTCTCTGATTAAAGTCTGGAAATAGAAAAATATAACTCAGAGATTCTAATAACCAAAGTAAGCAAAGTAAAAGCATCGAAGAATGCTGAAAGTCAACCAAAAACATCACTATTCTAAAATACCCAGCAATCTGACACACAGATACGAGATAAACTGCCCGATTATATTTAGTTTTGAGTATTTAGTATTTTTGCGATCTTGCGAATTCGATATCGCTGTCAGAAAAATCTCAAAATATGATATGAAATCCCGTAGTGTACAATTCAATTTAGTACAATACTTATTCGACCCTGGAAACCCCTCCTTCCTTTCCCTGCATTATGCTCACCTAATTCGAACAGCTACAACTCGAACTATACTAAGTTCTCGCGATAAGAGCATGCACACGTTACGATTTGTAGAGTCAACTTATATGCAAATTTGGCACTCCTGTAGTATGTGAACCAAAGTGGCAGACACCAGAACGTGCTATATGTACCAGGTTAGGGTTAGGCCATAATTTATTCCTATTTTCCTTATTTTAGTTCTATTACAAGCTCAAGGACTAGTCAAGTGATTCCAAGTAAATAGTTATTATATATTTGACACCTTATATACGCAAAATTCAAAAAGTTAACTCCAGATCTATGGCTCACAGAATATAATACTGGCTTACCGAAAATCTGTCATGTTTATGAAAAGGCATTACAAGTACGTGTTCAGATCCGTTTCCCATGATACTTTTCAGTCCAACGACGTTGTCAGAACCTCTGAAATCAAAAATGAGTTTTTATAAACTTGGAAAAAAATTAGGAATGCCATAATTATGAAAAATTAACAGGTATTCCTTTTAATGTGACGTATTTTACATAGTGTCGTGGGCATGTTGTGGCACATCATGATAAGCATTAGGAATATACTTGATATCACATCAAGTTCGCAAGTTTGAATCCTGTGAGGATAATTACATGCGAGAGGATTGCTGGACTCCTCGCCGCTGTAAGGTGGTTCATGTAACCGCTGGTCGGTTACGACTTCCTCCACCATCAAGTTCATGCATATGAAACAAATAATGGGCTAACTACTTCTGTACAGGACATGGCGACATGGACTAGTAACCGGACGATGAGCCGTGGTTCGTCATCGGCTTCCCTCTTCCCCAGAATAAACATGTAAATCCTATCCTATCCAACAAGAACTATGGGCCTAGTTTCGATATGTGATTAAGCCTAAGCCGTCTCATGGGCTTCCAACGCCCTCTAAGGTAAATTCTGAAAATCCTGTCCTAAGAATAAGACTTTGATCAAGTGGATAGTACAAAGATTAAAAAATAACAAAGCAAAAAAAGAGCTAGGTATCATTTTTAGACTCACTTACCCAATCTCCTTCAAGCATTTCGTTTCAAACAAAACTCTCTTTGTATTTGCAGAACAGGAGTAGATATGCTTCAGTGCACAATAATTTCTAGAACATTCCGCATCTGTTTGCTTCTCAGACGCAAGAAATACACTGCTGAATGTGCCTGATAAATATGAAACAAGATTTATAAAGGTCCTGTAAAACCGGGAGAATGAAAAGGGTAAATTAAGGATATCAGTCAATTTAAGGATAACTATGGCCTTCTCGTCCAGTCCATGTTGGGTATGGGCAGTGGCGTATCCAGGGTATGGCAGCCATGGGGCCATTTGCATTGGGTGCAAAAAGGTGAACAATTTTGATAGCCAAGTGAAATATTTCGACAAAAAAAATTCAAATTGGAAATAATTGCAACCGGTATTTTTACCTGAAGAATAACAATAATGTACAAATATCTCAATTCAACAATTCTCGTTACAATTTTTAATTAAAGAACAAAAGGTGAATTTTTAAACTTTGACATGGGCTCCATTCTATGTAGATACGTCACGTAGTATAGGAATAGTTATATGTATTAGATGTCTATAATGCAATAAATAATACAAATGTGTTGTTACAATACTCACCCCAGCCAATCCTCTTCTTGACGTCGAAATATTTCTGCACAGAAGGAACTTTAGAAACAAGTTCTATTATCGTACCAGGGTTTGTTGCATCTAAGAAATAATGCATAAACAAAAGTGAAAAATTTAAACTGAAATTTGTTGCGGCACGCTGGACTGCACGTTCACGTTCAAAACCGCAAGTTTATTTATTATACTCTGAAGTAAAAGAGCATTGTTTTCGAGTGAAGTTGCATGTCCTCACTCAGAGGTAAATGAAACTCATCTCTGAGCAAAGTATGGGAACTGCTCTCAGAAGTAAAGAAGACTTAAATCTGAGTGAAGTTACCTACACTCACTCTAATGAAAAGAAGACTCATCTCTGAGTAAAGTTATGTGTACTTACTCAAAAGTAAAGGAGACTTATCTCTGAGTAAAGTTGGTGGACTCACTTAGATATAAATAAGACTTTTCTCTGAGTTAAGTGTGCACTAACTCAAAAGTAAATCTGAGTAAAGTTACATACACCCACTCAAAAGCCAACGAGACTCATCTCTGAGTAAAGTTGCGCGCAACTACAGACGTGCCAATAGACAATCAGGAGTATTAGCTCAGAGTCAGAAAATTCAATATACCCTTCAAAACAGGTTCTTTTTCCTTTGTTTTGGTATTCAATGTATTTTTCTTGTTAAAGTCTTGGACATTGGTTTTGTTCTGTAACACACCACGTAGTCGTCTTCGAGATGGGAATGGTGGACTTATCGATGTGAGCTTGCAATTTGAATTTTCTTCATTGTCTAAAAAATAAGAAATTTGTTGGTTAAAGCTGGTTAAAGCAGTGGTTCTCAAACTTCAAAATTTGTCAAGGCTTGTGTTATTTTGAAACCTTGCTAGAACGATTAAAAACAGTGAAAAACCATCTAAAAACACTAGAAACCCTGCTAAAACGCTTAATAACAGTGAAAAAAACGTCTGAAAACACTAGAAACCTTGCTGAAACGCTTAAAAACAGTGAAAAGACATCTAAAAGCACTAGAAACCTTGCTAAAACGCTTCAAAAATAACAAGCTAACAATAGAGAGAGAGAATTCATCATTTCGTCAACCAGAAAACACATAATATAAAATATAATAATACAAAAATAAGTGAACCAAAAGTTTTCGGTATGACTGGGAGTTAACGATACGATTTACGGTCATCTGAGTCAGTTACCACCCAACAACACATGAATAAATACATAAATTGAAACAGTTTTTTTTTTATTGTACTCTCAGTTTATAGAAAAACTATTTGACTAGTTACAAAAGGTAATCTGATTAGAACGAAGATAAATTTTGGATTAGTCTGATCGGGGAATTTACTCTAAAAATGACATATTTATAACAGTATCATAATTTAGTTTTTTTAAATTATTTTTAATGATAGAAATGGCTACAAATAACAGATGGTAAGACGAAAGCATGTTTTATTCAAAAAAACATGTTGAAAATACATGGATTGAATCGCAATCTCTAACTAAACAATAAAGAAATGTGAATATCTAAAATGAGGCAGGCAAGATCAGATCTAACAAATAGTTTTATTTAGATCCTCATCCCTGTAAAAATGTCGTGCCCCCATCGTTTGAAAACCACTGGGTTAAAGACTTATCTCAATTATAATGACATAGCAGTTTCACAGTCCCGTTTCTCATGCCCACCGGGGCTGAGCTCCATTACTGGCTCGATACATACTTATTGAGGTTTTTAAGTGAGACCACTAACATGAAATATCAGCCCAAATGCAGTTTCGATGGAGACGACTTCAAACTATAATATGAAAGCTTCGTATTTGAAAATCAAACTTTTAAATAATATTATTAAATCTTATTATGTCTGATGTAAAGTGTCGGATAGTAGAAAAAAATAATTTTCATCAGCTGACTCATTTTCTTCATTCAGTCTTCATTTTATAATTTCATATTCTCTCTCTATCAGTACGGTATGTAATTATACATTGAAACTTTTAAATTAATATTAGAAATTGGAATCTACCAAAAATTTCATAAGCTTAAAAGGACACAGGAGTCTTGCTGCATACTAATCAACTCGCTGTTAGTGTGCAGCAAGCAGGGTTGTCCAAAACGAATCGAATATTCGAATGTATTCGAATATCAAAGTATTCGAATACCTTTTCGGCTGATTTTCGAATAATTCCGAATAGTAGCCACTTTTCGGCGTAAACGTGGTGTTTCGTTTTACGGGAATATTCAAACGACTTTTTACGCTGTCTCACGTATTGTAATGACGATGAAATAGAATCGGCATTTTGATTGTTTATATTCTGTGCGACGGTACGTCGCATAGTGTTGCGACATATTTGCACGTTTGCGCGGGTGGACATTGCCGACATTCGTCTACAAGGCTTTTAATTTACAAATTCATTTCCATTACGTCAAAAATTCGTCTAATGAGTCGCTTTTCTAGGCGGGGTGGGGGCGTCTAATTGAGAAAGTAGGTTTATTTTATTTCGATGTGGCCTGCTTTTTATTCGCATGAGTCTTCTCAAAGATGATTTGTGTAACCTTATATTTGGGTCTTAGGGCCTGCCAATCATGATATTTAATCGCAGGCCGGTTATCGTTACTTTAAAGAGAAACACGGCCACCGAGATAAAGTGATTTGTGACCCTTACAGCTGTGAAATAACCCGTGGACGTACAGTGTAGTACTTATCACATTTCAAAATTATTTCAACATTCGGGTTAATGGGTTGTCCAAAATGATTGCCGCTTTACAACTTAAATTTACCGCTCAATTGTTAAATATAGTTAAATGATCTGGTTCTAAACATATAAAATTATTAGCGCATATTAGCATAACTGAATAACAGGGACACAATTTTTTTACCCGTCTTATTGGAGGCCTATATGGAAAAACCCCTTTTTTGAGTGCTTAAAATAGACATCGTCCTATTTGCCATGTGGACTTATTAGCCGGGAAATACGGTATTTATAGCCGTAATTGTTACGTATCAAATAAATTGTCACAAGTTGGAAAAAAAAGTCGATTTATTAGAAAATAATTTCTGGCAAATAATTTTGATAACGATAGTTAAAAGTATCGATCCTTTACCAAGATGATTTTTGTTGCGCAAAATAATCCAATCCATGACTGGTTTTTAAAATGTCATGCTGTATTAATTTAATTCTGTTCAACGTAACTCATTGGTGTATCGACAATCTGTGGACATAAAATGTGTGGTGAACTGACCGATATTATAAAATATTGATTCCTATTTTCATATTGATAAAATAATGAAAGTATTAATACCAAATACCACGGGTATTTGTGGTCATGAAATATGTAGTAAACTGCCCAATTAGAATTAAATTCTGATTCGTATTTACAAAATAATAAAACTATATTTCTAAAATGCAACGGCGATCTGTGGCCTTAAAATGTGTGGTAAACTGCCCGATTTACCAACATTTGAGTTATGATAATAGAATTAAATTAACACGGTAAGGCATTTCAAATAGAGGTATCGGTCATGGATTCGAATATTTTGCGCAGCACAAAATCATCCTAGTAAAAAGTCCATACTTTTAAATACAAACCAATGGCAACCATTATCCAAATTAGTTCCCAAAATGCGGGATAAAGTATAAATTATTTTCCAACGTGTGACTATTTTTTCGTGAGTACGAAAATAAGAATTAAAAACTAATTATATTCGGCACAATATCATGGCAATCTGTGGACATAAATTGTGTGGCAAACTCGCGATTAATATTAATTTTTGATTCCTATTTTCGTATTTACAAAATACAACGGCGATCTGTGAACTTAGAATGTGTGATAAACTACCCGATTATAAATAGTTTTTGATTCCTATTTATAAAATAATAAAAGTATTATTACTCAAACATACAACGGCGATCTGCGGACTTAAAATGTGTGGTATAGTTCCCGAATATAATTAATTTTTGATTCGCATTTTTGTACTCACAATAACCAAAATAACTCATACTTTATCCTGCTTATCGGCAAATAATTTGGATAATGGTTGGTGTTTAATTAAGAGTATGGGCGTTTCACTAGGATGATTTTGTGTTGCGCAAATATTCAAATCCATCACCGATACCACTATTGCCGTATTAATTTAATTCTGTTAACATGACTCATGGTATATAAAATATATACTGGAATATGAAATGCCTGGTAATAAAGCTAGGTTGTAACTTCTAGATAGCAGTTATTCCATTGCTTATTGTATGGAAATTCCTACATTTAGATAAGCTTCAATTAGTGGATTTTATTTTCGAAGTATTCGAAATTCCATATTCGAAAAAAATAATTTCGAATGTATTCGAAATAGTGAACTATTCGGTATTGGCCATCCCTGGCAGCAAGACTATTGAATCATTCAAGATAGTTCTTCCCTCTTGCTACAGCATCCCATCATTCAGTCATTATATGAATACGGACATAAAAGCATAGAAGAAGAATAAGTAGTTAGTCCCGCAAAAACCAAATCAACAACAAAACGGATAAATATTAGTATTTTAACAATCACAAAATTGATAAATCTAATTAGTTACCTTCATTATTTTCTGAATGTATGGGCTTTAATACATCCAAACATTTTACAGTATCCGATCTCAGTGATGTAATGTTAGAATTGCAAATTTCAAGTTTCAATTTTTTTGATAAAAATTCACAGTTGTTCAAGGTTTCCAATAACTCAGGCTTCGACATATCTTGGATTAAATAAAATATAGAAATATATAAAATAAATATCTGAAAGCAAAAAAATATTATTTTATTAATTCTGTGACTACAGTCACAATGTGTCGCCAAAATACAGTAGTCTAGTAGTTCATCACATAACTAAAATTTCGTGTGTTTTTGGCTAAAACATCACAAATGCTACAGACAAATTTTTTTCGTCTTCTGTTAATCTGAGTATGATTACCGTAAGATTCCAATGGTGCGTTTTTAGATTGCGCTTTCTTTTTGTCTATTGTGCAGTGCTGGATTGCCAAGGAAATATGAAGGCCCAGACTGTCTCATAAACGAGGAGTTTGTAATCATTGTTATAATTGATGTCTTTCAATGTGGAGGGGCTATTCTTGGAATCTGGACAGATATGTATGTATGTGCTGTACTGGATGACAACACACAAAACAAGATGGAAATTCACAAAATTTTCAAAAGCTGAAATGAAATACATAACATAAGTAAGTTAGTCAGCCAGAAATTTATTTTTTACCAAAATAAAAATACACTTGATGCAAACAGAGACTAGGAAAACAACATGATAACGGTGACATGTGAAAACTAATGTCCGAATGTTGGTTATCAATCAGTCACACCAGTAATAAAAGTCTAACTTTGATACAGCTGTACAGGTTGAATAGAAAGTATCATTTAGCAAATCAATCAAGTTTCACATGCTGACATGTTATTCGAAATACACAATATAGCAATATATACACTTAACGGTACATATTAGGTTTGCAATAATTGCATATCTCAATACCAGAATACTCTGATACTGTAATACTAGAAAAATTAAAACTTTCTGACATTCCTGGAGACCATTGAATCAAAAAGCAGTCTGCTAATAAACCATTGCCAACCAGTCTAAATAATTATTCAACACAACGACATGAACAAAAACTAACATTAGCTATTACTCTAATTCCGTTTTGCCGTTATCACAAGCAATTATGCGCTGTTCTAATTGTCTAATACAAGACTGTCTGACAGTCTTAACCGCTGCATGGTCCTGGCCGTATCGTTGAATGTTCCTAGAAAACACCTGTCTTCCTAATTCTGTAATTACGACTTTGGTTGGCCAGAAAATAAGTACTGTATCGTCGCGAATAATTAGAAACGGAATTATTAACGCCCATTCATAAACTAACCGCCATAAACAACGCATTCAAAGATCTTCGCGAACGATAAATTTAAATCTCCCACAAAGTCGTTGAAATAATAAATAAACCTAATAAATAATCTTTTCATAAATCTCTTTCTCCACCTCGCGACAATTCAAAGTTTTTTGCTTCAATGACAAATTTGCGATGTCCCGCAGCGAAAAGCGTTTGATTTGCAAAACTTGATTGATTTGCTGCTGCCAATGAAACTGGAATTTAAAGTGTAATTCATTTGTGTGTGAGGGTATTCGTTTTATATCATTTTAGGCTATTGAGGTCGCCTATCAAAATTAATCGTAATTCGTAGTCAGATTAGGATTTATCCAAAAACAAAGATAAGGGCATTTGATTCGAACATGTGTTATCTGACGAGACCCTGATGGAATTACAAGTTTTGTTATGGTTGCATTTAGATATGCGACTTAATCACAACGTAATCAAGAATCGCTTGTTTTTGTTTTCGCAATCTGCTAATTTGTTACGATACGCGCTCACACATTATCGCTAAGTAAGTCAGTTTGAGTTTTCCATTACATACATTCGTAAATCGTTATGTATATGGGACATATTACTCAACGATAGTTAAAAGATGAAGTAGATTTAAATAAATTAGAAAGGAGAAAATGTGTAGTGCGGGAGTATATTGGCCGCTTATTTCTGAATAAATAAGATATTGGTACATGCAATATCTTATGCTGTTTGGCAATGCTTACTACCAAATTAGTAAACGAATATTTATTCCAAATTTAGCTAATTCCAATTAAAATGAGGTTGAAATGAAGTTATTGCTGGTGACTTCAACTGCCGATACGGTTGAATGGCGATCTCATATTCTAAGTTTCAATAGTTACTGAAGAGTTGAAATTGGCCGTACAGTTCTTTACTTTGTATAAATCAATTTTATAAATCGATGTGATGTGTTTATACCCTGAGGGCATAAAGTGAGAACGAAGGGAAATGACGTAGAATTGATCACGCAGTCACGTGCTTTCTTTGTCAAATTGAACGTTCGAGAAAAAAGAAACACTGATCACGTGCGTTGGTACAGCCAATCAGGACACAACGTTGTCAAGGAAAGCGATCGGCTGACGTCGCTGGTTACAGACGGGTGTCTTCGCTATGGAGGGGGGCTGCGCTGCTTTTCGGCAGAATTTACTAATATCGAGCAGGTTTGCTTCTGGTAGCGATGACGATGGGATTTTTGGAAGAGACTAAGTTTATTAGAATTGTTAGGGCTTATGAACAGGTAAAGTTTGTACAGTTTCTCTTGCTACTATTCCGTACTTAATTTCACAGCTCAAATCGCAGAATCAAGAAATTAAAGATGGCGGAAAACTTGTCAAGATGCTGAACTACGATTGGAAAACGTGGTACTCGACTATAACCAGTTTGTTATAAAGCAGCAGGATTAACTGGACTGTGATTGTATGTTTTTTACACACTGTCTCCGTATTTTGCCTAGATTTTTTTTTCGTTTTTCAATTTTGTATTACACTGTAATTTCATTCGTCATTAGCTTGTGAATATAACAGTTGAAAAAGATACTTTGATACGTAAATGATAAATAGCAATGGGTGCTGCAAAAGGTGGCAGAAATCGAAATAAAAGGTGAATGGTTCACGACATCTGCCATTTTTATTCTCCCGCAATGACGAGGCGAAGCAAGTGGTTTTTCCTGATCAATCTTCAAGAGTAGAAAATGAAACGGCCTTAAAAAACTTTTTCTGAAGTCCGAAACTGGTTATGAGGCGCTGGTTTCGGTGTATAATTGACCCGATTAGGTCGTGGTTACAGGGTCCGAGCTGACCCTGGGCAAACTCGGCGGAAGCCGCGCGATTTTGGTGCCCTGGTTTTGGGTTTGAAAAGGGATGCCCATCCTTGACCAATGGCACTGGAGAAGACCCTTTCGCGACAGAAAAGTGCTGAAGCATGTATGCATCGAATCAATCCTCTGGCAGTGAAATAGTTATCATTCGCCGGGCCCTTATTAAGGTACGATTTATTGCCTAGTATGGAGGTATGTTTAAGTTAATACGAATGTAACAGTTTTTAAAGTGAGTCACACAACATTACGGCGCCTTCAATTTACTTGAGTTATTCTGCCGGCGGCGTGTTGGGTTGCGGGATCCTTTCCACACTGCCTCAAATTTTTTCAGGTATTTTCACACGTCAGAAAAGGCAAAAATAAAACTTGAATCTTTCATCATTCAGTGACAAATAGGACCTGCGTCCCTCAGGAGTGCGGAAAGAAGATTTTATGTAATGTAGAATGTAAATTCAAATAAAACTTGATGCTCTTGCATTATTTAGTTACAAATAAGACAAACCAGGAGGAATATGTAAAGTTTTAAACATGTAAAATGCAATAGTGATTTTTATGCCAATCTGCACTCGTGCAGTCTTTATCTTTTTGATACAAGGGTTTGTTGTAGTAACAGCTGTGAAAGTCATTAGACGCGGCTTCTCAGCTAGAGGGCGACAATATGTTTCGCGAATTGGAAAGGTGCCGACTGAAGTTAACTGCGTTCGCGCAATCTATCACCTGGTAAAACAAAGGAGTGAATTAACAATAACAACAGCGGGCTTCCAACTGCCGGTATCCATTAATAAACTCTTGCTTACATGCGAAGGTTATTGAGAAGATTAGCTATCGTTAAGTAGGTTTACTCTTGCGGTAGTTACCGTAATCATTTTGTTAGATAGTCACTTTTGTCAGACTGCACCCTAAGACATTTTATTATTAAGGTCTGATTATTGAATATTCCACCGCCTGTTACTGTCACCTAGCTAGTTTAGTTTCGTTACAAATTGGGGAACTCTGATGACGCGGAGGTGTTTCTTGCGAAAACGAAATAAAATGACGAGACTACGTGAGCACTATGACGTAATATGCCGACGGCAGTAAATGCGCAGAGGTGAAACAGCGGCTATTTATTCTCATAGTTCAACCAAGCGCTTGGGTTTTGGACTTAAACATTAAACAGCTGGTAGCCCTACTACGAGTTTCATTATTATGAAGTGGTGCTGATTTGAACTAAAGAAAACCTTTCAAATGTTATCTATTCTTTAATAAAGGATGATTTGAAAACTGTTTTCTCAATATGAAAATTCTGTTGGCTTTGAATTAATTAAATTTTTGCCGAACTGTTATGGCATATGGGTGCTAACTGCTGATGTGATTATGGCCTGAGTGATATTTTTAAGCTTTGTTAGTGACCTATTTGTGTGTGTTTGTGAAATTATCTAGCAGAGAGCAGGTCTGTGATTGGTGGGCTGTTTACTCTTGCCGTCTATTAGAGTGAATATCAAGGCTGTTAACTTTTTCTTGTATTTATATGGTGACAGAGTTGTATTTTTCAAACTTATCGAAACAGGGAATTGAATTCTTTGGAATCAACTTTCAATTTATCTAGCTATTTGTACTCTGAAGCAAAAATTTCTAAAAGAAACTGGGAGTTACCGCTCTTAACAGAAAATCAAAGGCTTTCATACGTTTTTGTTGTCATAGTTTCACTTTTAAAAACTGCAAAATTACTGCATATATGGGAGGATTATTCAAGCTGCATTTTATAGTAATTGCAAATGAATGATTCATGCTTATAGTTCATTGAATGAGGCATTCTTAGATCTTGGAAATACACTTTCTATTAGAAACATGCAAAGGCACTCATCAAAATACAGACACTTGGTCAACGCAGTGTTGTTTCTCAAATCTGAAGCATTGACGACTAAAGATGAAGATTTCGGGGTTGAGATGAAGGCGCCATGGAACACATGGCCATGAAAAAGTTACTATATAAAACAAATTTCTGGTTTGTATATGGATTGGGGCATTTTCGAGATGGACTTTTTATTCAGGTCCGGTTCTGGGGCTCTCTAGGATTCCTCAAATTTCCATTCAAATCTGAGATCTTATATTATTATATGTTTAAGTATAATCAACTACATATTTGGTTTTCCGCTATTATCAAACCTGCTACACTTTTTTCGCCAGCATTAGATTTGCTTTATACACCTTTATAGTTATACAATTCTTACAACATCACAAGTATAGCACGGGGGTTCCTTAAGCCTCTTGAATGTTTCATCTGCTCCACCAGAAAAGATGAAAACCAATGTTTTATAATAACCCCCACATGCTATTGAGAAACACCATAATATTCTGATAAATATGTGGCCATTTGTGTTGTATACTATTTTCGCTTATATAACAGGAATGAGTGACTACCTTCAACTTTGCGAATAAGCTAAGATAATAAAAATTATTAAATAATCATAAACTTTCAGTATTGGTATTATCATCATAAAAGTTTCTGACAAGTCTGCGCTATTATAGTTTTACCATAATTGAACAAGCGACAACGTGGCAGAAATATACATACAAAGCTCTCTTTTATGAGTCGCTGGCTGACAAAATTCTGTAAGCTTCTAATGATCTTTTATTTTTTGGATTAACCTAAAGCTTTGAAGTTCAGCATTGCCTACCCGATTTATTACACTCTGAATGAGTTTGTGGTCATGGTTTCGAAGCCAACATATTTAGGCTTCTCCCTATAACTAGTAGGTGGCAACACCCTCTTGGCGAATATGCATCTTGTAAGAATAGGGATTGAAATGTTATATAATTTAAGCTTGTTGAATAGACAAGATGCAATTTGAACAAAGCTGTATATCAAAAATCACTTAGACCAGTGGTTCCCAAACCACGGGCCATTTATGGCCCACATAACGATTTGATATGGCCCGCCGAAGTTGACTGAAATTTTTTTATATATTTGCAATCAAGATACCACTAATTGTCACGTCATTATCGCAGTTCAAGCACGTGTTTGTGTGTAATAATTCAATTATATTGGTATTTGGTATCGGCCCCCTGCCAGTGCCTCGCTCCCGAATATTCTACCATTTCTAATTTTGCTTTCCGGTCGGTCAACTTTGGGAAGCAAAAAATGGAATGTTTTCTTTACTGTAAGCTTTCATTAAGTCATAGCTTACTAACACACACAATTGTGGAATGTAAATCCGAAAGTCTTTACTCCTTTGTCAGTTTGTGTCTTTCACTCTGAATAAGCAGCCACTGCTAGGTGAGAAGCGATATTTTTCTGATTTGCCATTGCCTACCCTATCGTTTCTCGAACTGTGTTCTTTTTGGCAGGAATCGGTCGCCATGCCGATATAGCTCACTTCGGCAACTCTGAGTCGTAAATTTGTTTTCCTACTAGGCAGTCGGCTTAATTTTATTTTAATTGTCAAGTTTACAGCCATCTTTTTAATTTTATCATAGACTAAATTTTGTGGAAATCACCCTTTTTTATAGATTGTCAACTTGAAAATGCGAGCCTGTGATAAGCAGGGTGTGCACAAATTAAATCCATTACACAATTTTGTTAGCATTAATTTTATAATTTTATTTCTTGGTGTTCCGCAAGGCAAGCTAAAATGTGTAGGTGTTTGAGACAAAGAGCTTGCCTACCCAATTGATTACGCCCCGGATAAGATGGCGGGGACAGGATTTATGCTGCGTTGCCATTGCCAACACGGTCAAGTCCAATGCTTAAACCACTAGTCCAAACCTCATTTCAGTCATGGCGCCATACACATATCTAAAAGAGAGGGATTGGTAGTTCATTTTTTGTAATATTATACAGTTACTGACAACCGGTTAGAATTATGAATAAGGCAATAATCAAGCAGTACTTTGGATGTAGAGGTTGTTCTGACCTGACTAGTGCTTTTAAACACACTAGCATAAATATACAACTGTATCTAATTACCCAGATCCATCAAGTTTTTTATGGTGTGAGACTACTATAAAAATAAATGAGAAAAAAGTGCTATTCGGATATTGTTCCACTGTTTTCTATTATTTTAGATTAAGTTAGAGTACCATCCTGTAATCGCCTCATCACTAAATTTCTGGTTTGTTTTTCCTTCATTTATATTAGGTTAGGATGAAATAAGATATCGCGCCACGATCGATTTTCTTTTCTGATTTCTGTAATTGCCCCAATCTATTGATAGATATTATTAATAGATCAAAAAATTAGGGATGGAAAAATAATAAGATATTTTGGCTATAATTTGATCCATTATTTTAATAATTCGTAGGAACCATATCAAATTTATCACCAGAATTTATAAGAGAAAAACTTTTCACAAAGAAATTCTAGACTTTCTGAATGCTTGTCTGAAGAAGGCTACTGTCAGACAGATGAAGCATCGCAGAAATATATTTGTTTCAATATGTAGCAAGACTTTCGAATCACTTAGAATCACTTTTATTTTTTTTATTTATGCGGCGTCTATTAATGCCTTTCCCTCAAAGCAAGGCCTTGTACAAGCAGCCACTGCAAGTTAACAAAAATTGTTTAATTTTCTATATAGGGGCCCATTCATCTTATCAAAACATTCATAACCCTAACCCTCTTGACCAGGGGTGCACAACCTTTTTGCTATTGGCGGCCACATTGCATTTATTAGTATTCAATACGGCCTCCAGGGGGTTGATGAACATGCAAAGGACGCGCAAATTTGTTTTTGGCTTCTATGACGTCATAACCGCGTATTTGACCCATGCGAGGTGCAGTCTGTTCAATTATGAAGTATGTAGGACTACTTGGAAGTATAATATGCGCATTTTAAGCGGATTTTCCTTTTCGGTGGATATATTGCAGCAAGTTGCATAATGGTTGCACAATTTAAAAAAAATCCTGGCATGGACTGGTAGCCATGGTTTGCCATTTGATTAATCCGGCTTTCCTTTTTCTCAGAATAATTATAACGTCCTATCCTAATATCATATTCAATTCCATTATCACAGAATATATTATTAGCAAATATAAAGCATTGTGTATGCGATAAATCTTATAAAAACAAGCGAATACTTTGGATTTGTAACTACGACAACGGGACTTCGATCCTGATCATCCAGATGATAAATATGAAGACAGATCTCAGGGATTACAGTAAATCAATGGTAAGGCATTCAAGCATGACCAGCCAGAATATTCCTATTTGAAATTGGGGATTTTCAATGCTGTCTATCATTCTATCTAAGCTTTTTTGGTGATATACCACTATAAACCTATATCTAACTCAGTGGTTCCCATCGTTTTCGATTAAACCTTTTTAGATATTTTTATTTCCCTCTTCAATATTTATAAAAGCTCTATTTCCTTTATTTTTTCAATCTTCGGCGGATCATTAGCTAGTTTTACGCAAAACTTGCACTCTGGTGTTTGAATAGTTCATATCTTGTTCATAAATATGTATGACAATAATACTAAATAAGTAAATAATATTAGTCAAACTATACCAAATAGAAAGTAATGTATCCTCCTCAAAAACAACAAAATTTTCTCTCTGAGAAGGAATTTCTTCTCCGTTGGAAAACACTAATCAAACTTGTGACTAACAAAGCTATTTTTATATCTTTTGTTTATATACATACTGAGAATACTCATTACCGGTATTTAGAAAATGGACATTTTGAATACTTTGTGTCTGACAAGAAAGTACTTGAACTTTTTATAACACATAATTTTATTATCCGCTACTCGAGTCTATCTAGATACAATATTTATGCATTTTTAATGTAAAATAATGTTTTTTTAGTTGGGTAAGTTTGATTTCAATCAAAAACGAAATTGATATCTTTTATTTTTGAATTGTACCCACTTTTAGGCATCTGGGACGAGTAATTGGTTTTCTGTTTCCTTTATCAGATATGGTAATTGAATGAGGTGTCATGGTATTTGATTCCAATTTATCCTCTGAAAGAGGCTCTGTGCTAGCAGCTACTGATTATTAAAGGGCTGCTGTAGTTTGCAAGGTCCGCAATCATGCCGTTTTCGGCATCGCTATCCTGATTTTTATCACCCTCGGTGAGCGATGCGATCCTAATAACGCTTTAACGACTCGGCCATCATGCTCACTTTTCATAATTTTGAAACATGAATTATGTCTTTGGCATGAGTTTAACATCATCTACCCGATGTATTATACCCTGGATTAGCTCGTGGTCCTTGAATTAAACGTAAAATTGTCATTTTCACTTCACCTATATTGTAGACTGCTGCTAACCCTTCTCTTATACTTATCCAGGGTTCTGAAGAAATCACAGATCCTTTACTTTTACTAAAGTCACTCTCTCCTTTGCTCAACGGAAAAGGTGGAATCATTGGATTAGATGAATTATCAAAAATCATATCGTGAGTATCACTTTCCATTCATGCATAAGAATTTTTCTGATTCTTCTCCACATCAGTTCTGGCATAGGGTTTCTCAAACTAGGTCCTGACCCCTGTAAGGGATCACAGATTGGACTTCTGGGGCTGATGTCCAACAAAGATGTCCACTAGGTACCATTCACAATGACAGCATCATTCTGATTTTTTTTATTCTTTGACATAATAGATCTTCTTTTGCTTTTACTATTATTGTGTTTCTCCGTGTATAATACACACTTTTGAGGTTTACTTTTGTCTCTAGAATAAGTATTATGTATTGACATATAAAATATCAAAAATTATTAATTTGTATTTTATGCTTATCTGGCTAATAATTCTCTGGTATTATAGTCATACGTTTTTTTAGCTTCATTTGATAAAGTCTGTTAGAATCAGATCATTCTTGAAGTATATTCAGCCCAATTAACCTATATGATGTGACATGCATACAGCGTTAACTGATAAAAACATAATAAAAGCGAAACTATTTTTTTTATGGAATAGCGGAGGCCGTAAGGGTTGAAGCCTTCGGGAGCCATGGTTAATGAAAATTCAGAACCAATGGTTTAGTTTTAATTACAGAACAGTTGAAACAAAAGAATGATTAATTCAATTAACGAATGATTCTTTTCTAAAGCCTTTTTCGGGGGCATTTCTGAAAATCCCCAAAATATATCATAACATTCTCTTTTTTAAACAGGGTCATGCGAACTTGCAAAAAGCTGGTTGGACGATGCATATATCTAAGTATATTACGAGTCACAAAGGGTGAAGACATTCTTGAAAAATTCATTTTCGAGGGGGGATGGAAAATAATAAACAAATGGTTATCCGATGCCAAAGACACAGAAAATATTCCAGTTCTCATGGAGATACTAAAGGTACGATTTCTAAAAAAAATTTTGCAAAGTTATGAGCAGTCACTAAAATTCCGAGTTTTTTTTTAATATATACTTATGCCAGTGCACTGGGCCACCACTAATATTCTAAAAGATACTAAAATAAATGGTGCTCTTGTAGTATGTGAATCAAGAATGTAGTGTGCGTACCAGATTATGGATGAGCCATAATTTTATTCCTATTTTAGTTCTATTAGGAGTTCGGGGACTAGCCAAATGACTCCCGAAGTATTTGTACCTGGAATTATGGCCCAACCTAACCTGGTACACATACGTTACGTTCCGGTGTCCGCCATCTTGGTTCACATTCTTTGGGAGAACCAAATACTTTGCTTGAAACAGAAATTGACAGTTTTTGAATATACTTACCAAAACAAAGTTGTTAATTAACTGTTGCCACATTTCACTGTGATATACAATGATGACGAATAGATAGGGACAAATGATATGAAGTGATTATAGTAGCAGACTCTGAGTATATCACATAAATGTGGCAACATTGATAGAATTTGGGTTTTTTCATGTTACTTATGCAACAAGCAAGAAATACATAATTCTATGATAGCACTGGCATAACGGTTAAAACGTTAGGTTAACTATGTAGGAATCGCACGTTGGATATTTTGATCTCTATCCCAGGTGCATAGCCGAGAAATTTCAAAGGGGGGGGGGTTCTGAAATTTATAATTGCCAAGTAACACCATAATAACTCGTGGAGCGAAGTCATAAATACGTTTCCGGCTATCCAAAATTGCTATGCATGATGTAGAAAATTTTTTTTTTCATACATTTCAAAAAAGGGGGTTCTGATTGGCAAAACTACTCCCTGGGTATGTCCCCATGTCTGCCATTTCACCCAATTTCAGTCCAATAAAATATTTAGGCGTTTTCAGCCACACCAATAATAGTGGCTCTTTACAATAGTAGATGCCCAGAGTTTCGTCAAACAAAATGATTATGAATACATAAAAGAAAAATCAAGGGTGCTTGTCAAAAGTCTTACTCAGTTCGGAATCACCTGAAAATAACCATAAAAACTAGCTCAGAGGCTCACAATTAGGGGTAGCTGGCCTGCAAGCGTTCGTAAATTTTTGAAACAAGAATTTCGCTAGTTCTTTATCCACAAGAATAGCCAATTTATCAGGTCATTATTATACATTTTTGGGGGTTAAATTTTTCATGGTTGGTGAAGTGAAAAAAATCAAATTAAGAACATCTGATCTAGGTATTTTAACACAGAAAAATGATCACTGAATGCCTTGGTAACTTTACTGTATATTTTTAACAGGTGCTTCAACGACTACCGGTTTCAATGCAAAACCTTCGCGAGAACAACACACCCAAAATCATCAAACATTTCACAAAGTCTTCAAACCAAAGTAAGCATATTTTATATGGTGTTTGCGATTGGTCAGCTCTTTTATCAAGCAAAATTGAAGATTATATTTATTTTTTGGGGTTGGGAGAATAACTGGAAAATGTCTTAATTTTTTATGTACTTCACTTATCCACTCCCTTTTTCTCCAAAACAAGAATGTCACTCATTCCCTGTAATATACGAATAGTTTTGTAATATTGTTTTTTAATTTGTCTAATAATCGCCTGCGTACTATTTTTTGATAAATTAGTGTGGTTAGGGGTTAAGGTCAGCATATTAAATACATATTTCATAGTCGTGACATTTTTGGCGTCCTAATCTTCAATAAAAATATGCTAGGGTAATAGTAAATTCATTACAGTCAGTTTTGTAATAACAATGTTTCAATTTGTCTTCAATACACTGTCTGTGTAGTATTTTTGATAAATTAGTGTCTGTATGTGATTATCGGTCGTATTTGGAATGCATATTATATCTTATAGCAATGGTTTCTCAAATTGATTGACCAACAGCCCCACCCCTGACAGTTTGTCATGTTTAAATTTGTCTGGTAACCATTAATGCACTATTTTTTGATGAGTGTCTGTTTGCGATTAGGAGTCTGCATTTTGAATACATTTTTTATAGCAGGGGTTCTAAATCTTTCAAGTTGTGTGTCCTTGAAAAATCTCACCACTTGCGCCCCCTAATTCTGCTTGTAGGATTTCAATCAGTTATTATTAATAAATAAAGAATAATAAAACTATTTCAGTCAGTGAATTCAATAATTCAAGAGTGAATTTACTGTAAATAATTGTAGTTATCACAAATGGTACCATGTAAAGGCATTTCTTTACTATTGGCCCCATGGTGGGGAGGGGACGCTTTGAGGGCGCCATCTGAGAAACTTTTTTATAGTATTAGCATGATTTCTTGTGGAGGTGCATCCGTGCGGTGTTAGTTTTGGAATCAGATTTTGAAAAATTGTGTTTTTTACTTCACATACCGGTATATTAATGTGCATAGGCTGCTATATAGATTATGAAACCGGGATCGCCAGCGTATTCAAGTTTTATTTAATTAGTCAAGTTAGATATGCTTTGGGTACTTCCGTAGTGTGTCTACCAGGTTAGGGTTAGGTCATAAGTTCATTCTGATTTTCCTTATTTTAGTTCTATTACGAGTTCAGGGACTGTCTGTGTTAGCCAAGTGAATATCCCACTGTCCATAGGTTTCAGTCACTTTACACATCTCGATGTAAAATAGGCGACCAAAATTAGTTACCTCCATATTGGTACACATACTTCCAGAGCACCATTCTTTGTTCAAGTTTATACATAGACTGATAGTGGCAGTTGGTTTACCCACTTTTAGAGATAGAGAGATAAAAAGATGTAAAACGAGTTCATTTAAGTAACTAACAATTGGAGTTACGTGAAACTAACCCCCAATCCTTCCTCACCGCCTTTGCACAACAGTTGTCGAGTTCGGAATTGCATAGAATTCATCAAAGATGGTTATTTCCAAGTAAATTTGATATTTTAATTTATTATGTTTTTTTTTCTGAGGGCAACAAATCAGGATTGATTAGATTTAGGATCAGTTTTTGTTGACTCAGTGGCCGCTCACAACTTTTTCTCAAAGAACTTTTCTATTTAACTTAATATCTAGCATGTTGGATGTTCTGTCAATGTTTTCTGTGTGTTAGTTAACCTACCTAGTTTGTATTAGTCCTGTTCTGTAACCTGTTTTATTTATGTCATAGTTATCGTGAAGTTTAGTTAGACACTTTCTTGTCATACAGTAGGTATAATAGTGATTTGTAATAATGTGCAATTTATCCAGTTATACTCGGCATGAATATGATCTAGAACAGGGTTTTTTAAACTGGGGGGAGGGGGGATCGTAATGATTTTACAGGGGGTCAGCAACGATATGAAAATAGTCTGAAACTTATACAAATTGATCATAATCTTATCGAATTACTGTTAGCCTAACAGTATTTAACGTTTGTAAGTATTGATTCAGACTTTCCTGAATTTATTATCCTTCCTTGTTGGTTAAGCACATAAAATTGATACGACATAGGATGGGGGTTCGTCAAAAATAAGATTCACGAATGGGGGTACGTGGCCCTAAAAGGTTGGTAAACTCTTGAGCAGTGGTGCTTGAACCGGTGTTCTGTCAGTACAGCACATGGGGTTTCATGAGTTTCCACTCGAATCTGAGACTATATTATAAGTATATGTATATTGTTTAAGTACTCCTGTAGTATGTGTACCGGGTTAGGGTTAAGCTATAATTTCATATGATTTTCCTTATTTTAGTTCTATCACGAGTTCAGGACTGTCTGTGTTACTCAAGAGAATATACCTCCTGCTCATAGGTTTCAGTCCCTTTACACAACTTGATGTAAAATAAGTGAACAAAATTAGTTACCTCCATATTGGTACACATACTTTTGGAGCGCCATTGTTAAATCTTGCTACACTTTGTTCTGTTCGTATTAGGTTTGCTTTATACTTATCTATAGTTCAGACAATGAACCATTGCACATTAGCCATCGCTGCACTGCAAGAAGGTCAAAAATCACTGGGCTATAGTATGGTGTTGTTTGCGTATCTACTTCCAATGTCTAATATTTGTGAATTTTTATCAATATTAGTGGAGCTACTTTGATGACTACATACAAGATTAGGGGCTCCCGAAGTATGCGAACCAAGATGGCGGACATCGGAATGTAATATGTGTACTAGGTTAGGGTTAGGCCATAATTTTAGGTATAAATACTACAGGAGGCTCTTGGCTAGTCTTCGAACTGATAATAGGACTAAAATAAGGAAAACTGGAAAAAAATTATTGCCTAACCCCAACCTGTTACCCATGTTACGTTCCGATGTCCGCCATCTTGGTTCGCATACTTCGGGAGCACCCAAGATTATTCCTAACGCAAGGTATGAGCGCCAACGTCTTTGTGAATGAGTATTCAACATGTAGTAGTAATTTCGAGAGAGCAGAGTTAACTTGCCTTGTAGCAAAGGTTTGGAAATTGATTGAACGGTGCCAAAACTAAAAACGGAAGGATATTTGTGCACCAGGGGAGGAGAGCGCCTGAAAGAGGCCAGTACATATATATTTCACATACGGTATAATTGAATCGTTACGATTATTATTGTGCTTAAACTGTGATAATGACATAACAATTGGCAGTATCTAGAACACAAAGAAAACCATCAAGTGTTAAACTATTTCACTTAAGATTTCACATACGGTATAATTGGATCGTTATGATTATTATTGTGCTTAAACTGTGATAATGACATAACAATTAGCAGTATCTAGAACACAAAGAAAACCATCAAGTGTTAAACTATTTCACTTAAGTTTGTCACATCAACTCGCTTTGGCCTGTGAGCCGCGGTTTTGAGAACTACTGCCTTTTGGAATGCTGGGGTCTGGTGTAGTTTCGCACCTTCTAGTGGGCGTAGTATAACAATTTTTGCATATGTCAATCCTAACCCCCGACTGTCTGCTTCATCTAAATATTATGTCACTACCACATTATGCTACGCCCACTAGGAGTACTTAAGGTACGAAACTACATGAGTCCCGATACTGGAGTATACCCGATACCGGCGCGGCGGTGTGGCTCAACGGGCTAAGCGTTAGGAATACGCTCGCCACCGCACCTCTAATTACTCTGCGTGGGTTCGCAGGTTCGAGTCCATGCAGGGATGGTTATGGCAAGTCGGTTACGGCTTGCTCCACCACCAAGTCCATGCTTCCGAAAACAAACTATATAACTAATCCCATACCCGACTTGGAATGGTAACCGGACGAGAGGCCGTGGTTCGCCATATGGATAAGCCGTCTTATCGGCTTTCCTCTCCCCCGGGATAAATATGTAAATCCTATCCTATCCTAGTATTAATTGTTAAATCGATCGTAGTAAGTCTGTTTGTGTTGTGTATATTGTGAGTATTGTTGTCCAAAGTCTTTCTTGTGTCAAGTGAAGTCGCTGGACATCGTGATCTTGCTTTTATAATATGTGCTGATCAGTGTGGGAAGTTCTGAAATATATTCCGTGAATACTGAACTGCTTTTGTCAGTGTAGGAATTTCTGAAGTTTATTCTTGCTTTTGTCAGTATAGAATTTCCTAAAAAGGATGACCAGTATGGCGGTATGTAAATTCTGTACTTCTTTTGTCAGTGTAGGAATTTCATAAACTTATTCTGTAAATGATGTATGTATTGCGTAAATACTTAAGTGCATTTGTCAGTATAGCAATTTCTAAAAAAGTTTATGTAAGTTCTGTACTGCATTTATTTGTTAGTGTAGGAATTTTTTATTTTTATTCCGAAAATGCTGTACTCCTTTTGTCAGTGTAGGAATTTCTAAAATTCAATCCATAAATGCTTTACTGTAATGAAATTTCTAAAAAGGATTATGTAAATTCTGTACTGCGTTTATTCTGCAGGAATTTCTCAAATTCATTCTGTAAATACTTTTTTGTCAGTGTAGGATTTTTTGAAATATATTCCGTAAATACTGTACTGTTTTTGTCAGTATAGGAATTTTTGAAATATATCCCGTAAATACTGTACTGTTTTTGTCAGTGTAGGATTTTTTAGAATATATTCCGTAAATACTGTACTGTTTTTGTCAGTGTAGGAATTTTTGAAATATATTCCGTAAATACTGTACTGTTTTTGTCATTGTAGGAATTTCTAGAACATATTCTGTATAGACGGTACTGCTTCTGTAAGGGCACACGGTGCAGTTACACTTTCGTCAGTGTAGAAGTTTCTGAAATCTATTTCGTAATTATTGCAATATTTTAAAAACAGCATTTACTGCTCTCAAATATTTGTTTTCTACCAATTTGCTCGACAGCAAAGGCCATTATTAATTATGTGTGATAGCATTGCTGAACTCCTCGTGATCGTAGGGTGGTTCAGTCACGGCTCCCACCACCATCAAGTACACGCATCAGAAATAAATAAATGACCAACGAATTCCATACTCAGTGGACTGGTAACCTGTCGAGAGATAGTAGTTTGCCATATGATTAAGCCGTCTAATCGTTTTTTTTTCTCTCTCTCGGGATAAAAATGTAAAATGTATAAATATGGTTAAGAACCACTGCTTTAGAACCTTCTGGATTTTCATTATGTTTCGTTTACAGAATTGAAGACTGCTGCTTCACTTCTAATGAGTTCGTGGATGGCAATAGTACGAGGTAGTTCTGGACCAGCGACGTCCGAACTACCAGAAACGAATAAAAAGAAAGAAAAAAAGAAGAAATTAAAACAAGTCGAGCAGAGTAAAGTGAAACCGAAAGGCGAGTCTGCGAATAAAACTGGGGCTCCACCACCAGTAATGAAAGCGCCATCTTTTGCAAAGTTTCGAAAAACAGGTGGGATTTCCCACTTTCTATTCTTCATAGTTACAGGACTTTAGGTTTAGGAAATTATAAAAACAGGCGGGATCCCCCCCCCCCCAATTATTCTCCATAATGATGTATTACAAAATCTCTTTTCGTAGAAATATTGCTCTGATAAAAGGAAGATGCTTCTCTAAATATGAATGACCAAAAATCAATACTTTTGGCAGATAGGCAGCTTGGTTTGAGAGTTGCCCGCCTGAGCTGCTTTGGGTGACGCCCATTTGTTTCCTGGGGGTATGTACAATGCGTTTCACTCAGTTTCAGTTGCTAGCGAATTTACACTCACTTTGTTTTAAGTCAATATTGGCATGCCAGACACCCCCCTCTCATAAGGTTTTTGTGGCACCTCAGGGTGGCAAAGTTTGAGAAACCCTTTGCTAGTTCATCATTTCTATACAATTGATTTGCATCTAGCTGTGAAGTTTTATCTTATGCATTTTCTACTCTAGGTCTCGAAACTGATCAGCCCATTCCTAAGAAAAAATCTAAAACGACAAAGCCTGCAACTCCTGCCATGGGGAAACGAAACAGTGTTGACAATGACAGCGGAATTCCAGAGAAGAAATTGAAATCAGCCACTGAGATTAAAGCAAAGAAAAGTAAGTGATCGATGCCCATAACTTCACTCAGAGATGAGTCTTCCTTGCTTTTGAGTGAGTCCGTAACTTTGCTCGGAAATCAGTCTCTTTAACTTTTGAGTGAGCACTCGTCACTTTGCACAGCGATGAGTCTTCTTTACTTCTGAGTGAGTGCCCGTGACTTTGCTCAGATATGAGTCTCCTTTACTTCTGAGTGAGCGCCCGTGATTTTGCTCAGAGATGAGTCTTCTTTACTTCTGAGTGAGTGCCCGTGACTTTGCTCAGATATGAGTCTCCTTTACTTCTGAGTGAGCGCCCGTGATTTTGCTCAGAGATGAGTCTTCTTTACTTCTGAGTGAGTGCCCGTGACTTTGCTCAAAGATGAGTCTCTTTTACTTCTGAGTGAGCACTCGTCACTTTGCACAGAGATGAGTCTTCTTTACTTCTGAGTGAGTGCCCGTGACTTTGCTCAGATATGAGTCTCTTTTACTTCTGGGTGAGCGCTCGTGATTTTGCTCAGAGATGAGTCTTCTTTACTTCTGAGTGAGTGCCCGTGACTTTGCTCAGAGATGAGTCTTCTTTACTTCTGAGTGAGTGTGCGTAACTTTGCTCAGAGATGAGTCTTCTTTACTACTGAGTGAGTGTGCGCAACTTTGCTCAGAGATGAGTCTGCTTTACTTCTGAGTGAGTGCCCGTGATTTTGCTCAGAGATGACTGAGATGAGTCTCTTTTACTTCTGAGTGAGCGCTCGTTACTTTGTTCGGAGATGAGTCTCCTTTACTTCTGCGAATCCACACAGGGTAATCATATGACAAGTGTATCCATATCACTTAGCACAATGCTCTGACCGCCGATAAAGTCGATTAATTCAGATATTTTATTTTCAGTTACAATATCAGAAGGATTCATGGATGCTTTAAACTCAGCCAGTAATCCAGTTCCTATACCAACAAAGAAAATTAAACGACGACCGCTGAAACCAACCGCAAGTTCGAACTCTAACGCGTCCAATTCTAATAAAATGCAGAGTATGGAGTATTCTACTGGAGATGGTGGGTTGTTTAGGTTGAAATATTTTTGTGGAATGCTGTGTTTCCCCGAAAATGGGTCTTGGATTTTAAAAATGATTTTTAATAAAAAGCCTTCCCTTTAAATAGACCTAGTCGATAGCAAAAAATCTCTCTTTAAATGATTGATAATCTGTTTTTAGCAGTCATTTTAAATAAAATTTGTTATTTTTAAGTAAATAGGTTATAGGTTTTCATATTTTGTATGTTTGAAAATCTCTCAATTCTCTACTTTGTAATTTTGTTTTTGATAAATGAAAATAAAAGACATACCCCCTTAATATTCCATAGTGTTATTTTTCGAAAGAAAATTGAAATACGATCCCTATCTCATTTTCGGGGGACACTGTAACTGGTGACGGGATTCAAACTTTGGGAACGGGTTCTTTTGTATCAAAATCACTAACAACGGGTTCCCTCTTCTCAGGAAATGTATGCATGTCATTGCCAAAGCTCCATTAAGATGACATATTTTGCATAAATCAAATTCTTCATTTCAAAACCTAGCTCTAAAATTTGAAGTGACAGGTACTATTCTGGACGCTCCAGAAGTATGTACACCAAGATGGCGCACAACCTGAACCCTAACCCGGTACACATACTATATTCAGAATGTGCGTCATCTTGGTGCACATACTTCGGGAGCTCCTTATTTTTTACCAACTCATTAACAGAGGGTTCCCCTCAGTTCAAAGCCTATACCTCTATAAAATTAAAAAATGTTACAATACATCAAATTCAGATAGTACATATTTACGCTGTGATGGAATTTAGGTTTTAAGGGCTGGCTCTCTTTTGCATTGAATTAGCTAACAACACAATGAGATATTGTCCGATCAAGTCTAGGAATTAGTGTAACATTAAGGGTGCCCGCTTTCATGCTGTTCCGAGCCTTCGGTTTAGTTTAAGTTACGGTTGGGGACATTTAACGGAATGAGAATGTAATGGCGTACTGAAATAAAACTCTGTCCGAAACCAGTCTTTTTGAGAATTGATTCTGGCGGTTTTTAATACTTTATTTAGAAACATTAGCTCCATTGCCTATAAATAAGTGACTCTTATTTGTATATCATTTGCTTATATTTGCACCATACGGGAAAAAACTATGGCGCTGTAATATAAACAATGCATATAGCAGTGTCTCGCTTTCCAACAGAGCGCTTTTCCTAAAAAACTGAGATATACAGGGTGTCCACAAAGTCCATTTACAATTTCAATTTTGTTATGAAGTCAGTTCTCAATATATTTTAACCAGGTTTGTTGTTAGTCAGTTATTGTTCAAGTATTTTTACTTCATTTAATACATCTGTGAGGGCTAAATCAATATATGGTATTGATAAATTCCCTTTGCAATTTTAAAAATTTCACGACTTTATGGACACCCTATGTTTAGTCGCATTGTGAAGTGTATTATTTTGGAAAAATCGCATCCGGTAACTTTGATAAAAATAACTAGATAGCCCTGACAGAGTTATCTGCTGACAATTTTCAATTATTTTTTTCATGTTTTTAGCCGATGATTTCAGCGCGACAGAACTTCTCCGAAAATTGAGTCCAAAACGAGTTGAATCACCTGTGCCTACTGAACCAGCGAAACCAAAATTAAATAAATACGGAAAACCGATGAAAACAGTTCGATTTAAACCCGACGAACAACTAGAAATGATTCAATATTTTGAGGTCGATGAAAACGAGAGAGGTAATACCAAGTTCCCTGGCCAAATCGAAGTTTTTATGCCAAATTTTTTCAGAATATTGCCTGTTGTGTATGTTCAAACCATTTTTGTGGCTTCAACAGTATTACAAAGGCAATATATGTGTGTATCATAATTAGAGGGCTTTAATTCAAAAAGGCAAAATTTTATATTACTGTTTCGAAAATCGTAGATATCTATTCGATTATTTGACTTCTGTAACTTTTTATTTATAAAAATGAGGTGAATATTGCTCCAAACTATGATTAGATACTGGCTTAAATAGCATATAGTTCTTTGTAATATTTCTAAATAAGACGATTCAAGAAAATTCAACATTGCCTTTCTGTCTTAAAAACTTCTAATTATGCTACCACCGGGTTGTCTACCGATTATAAAATTTTTGCCCCTCCCCCCTTTTTTTCCATTTTTAGACAACCCTGAGTGGCATATTCTGCTATTGGGGTTGTCTACTCATTATGAAAAGCTAAGATTCCCCTATTTTTCACACATTTCTGAGCGGCATGTACTAATATTCAATATTTCTATTTCCTTTACCATCTGTGCAATATTTTTAATAAAATATGTTTGTTATATTTTCCTATTTTAAATAACTTTTTGAGATTTTTTTAAGCCAGAATTCTTGGAGAAGCGGAATTTTTTTATGTATCTTATGATCGTTTCTATGCAAAACCAAGATAACAAGATGGATGTTGGTAAAGCTAAATCATTTACCATTTTACTGTGATAATAATATATGTTTTATTCAACTAGTCTTAACAACGAAATATAAAACAAATGGTACATCATGTGTGCCAGCTGATGGATTGGGGTCATTAGGGCCTTGTCTTCTTAGGCTTAAGATTTTTCCAAACAAGGCCAGACTAAACACAAATACTACTCAATTCAACATTCATAGTAACTATGTAAATTTTTACGAATCCTATGTCTTTGCGTTGAACGATACCTTTTATGAGCATCCACTGGGGGGGTTCCTATTATTCGGAAGGACTTCTGGTTGGCATTGCCTACTGAAAGTATACAGAATTTGAACACAAAATGTGTATTTTGTGATGTAAACGCTGTTAAATCTAAAGCTTAAACCTCTAGGCCAGTGGTTCCCGGACTGCGGGCCAAGTAATGATATAATATGGCTCGCCGAACTTAGATGAAATAGTTTCCCACTTTATGTTTTTGTGTTCTATATAGCGCTAATTGTTCACAGATTAAGCATGTGGTATATTCATAACAATTCAATAATACCGGTCGCTTAAATATATGTATCGCGCGACATCGGCTCCTTGCAGGCTCTTCCAGTCCCCGATAATATCCTTTTGCACCTAATTTTGGCCGTCGGTCAATCAACTCTGGGAACCACTGCTCTAGGCCATTGGCTTGCGCCTTTATATGGTGGAAAGGCCAGCTTAATTTTTTTACATAAAGATCAAGAAGAATAAATAAAAAATGAATTAAATTGAATAAAAATTTCTAGTATCATTAAAAGTTTTTTTTTAATAATACAAACAATGCAGTAAAAGTGTCATCGACCGAACTAATCCTTGTGTCTATTCATCAGATTGTCAAGTTGAACTGTCACACACTGGTTTAATTTCAGTCCTACATTTGGGACCTACTGTGGGCTAATTTCAGAAATCGTCAGGCGTACTTACACTTTGAGAAGTACTCTTAACTAGTCTTCAAAAAACTATTGCTCAGTTATATTTTAATGAAGAGTAACCAGGGCTTTTAATTTCAAAGTTACAAATCATGGATGGAATTGTTGAAAATAAAAATATAAACACACTCTAAGTAAGTTCAAATTCACACTCGATACGGATAAATGAAACCCTTTAGATTGGCACCCATACACGTTACACATACATATATATTGTGTCTGCGAACATTTGCCCCCTTGTACATTTGCATATATAAAACACTTATCTAAATCGTCCTATTGCGTCGAAGCGAACACATTATAACTATATAGCAGAGAACAATGTACAACAATCTCAATTCAGATATGTCTCACCTTCCTCCGTTTACAGTGCGTGCCACGAGCATCTGGCCGATTATGCCTCTATTCTCTTCATAGTATCAGTGCCAGATTCAGTGGGCCATACAAGCAAAATTAAATTCATCTGAAACAACTGTTTCCATATAGCTACTCCCATACCATACATGGACTGGTAACTAGGGCTGGGCATTTTCGAATACCTTGTGATTTCAGAATCGAATCGAATAATTTTTTCGAATCGAATCTCGAATACTTGAAAATATATAATTGTAAGCGACTTTATTATAGTAATTGGTCCTCTCAACAAATGAATTACTGAAGACATAGAATAAATCACTCAGACAAATTACTGAGCGTTCACACAGAATAACAAACACGTTTTATCAACAACTCACTACAGAAAATAGTCATATGTTAGAATTTCGTTGAAAAAATATGACTCCTATGAAAAAAAAAATTGGGGATTTCACCTCGACCATTAGCGAGATGGCGGCGATTCGAAATTTAGCTCTGAACCGATTCGAATAATTTACTATTCGAATCGAAATGCCCAGCCCTACTGGTAACTAGACGAAAAGTCTTGTTTCGGCACGCGATTAAGCTGTATTATCAGCTTTCCTTACAAATTCATGAGCACATTGCTCCTTACATTTTTCAACTTATTACATGGAAACTTGATACAAATTTTCCTTGCTTGTCTGACGCCTTGTTTTGAGCAAGAGTGTAGAAGAACTAAAAAGACATTGACGACACAAATATTTCAAGTTTTGCATCTCTTCGCTTCAGAAACTACCTGACTCCACAGCTAGGTTTTTGGTAAAGTGAAGTCTGTTCACCTTTCATGAATCTCCTCAGAAAACACTTTGAATTTACTATAATAGTTTCCTCCGCTGTGTATCTGATCACATATGCAATTTAATGAAGGTTACTCGAGCAAATTCAGCTCCCTAATACTCTTGTTGGCTTTTGCAACCTCGCTTTGCTGATGTAGTGAGAGTTCTGCTGCATTTCTTATTGTATATCACTTATTTCTAACACGAGTAAATGACATTATCGCTATATCGGTAGTAACTTATACCGTCCTCAAATTAACGCGGATGGTAAAAATGCGCACAGCACGCTATCCTTGAACCATTTAGAAATCGTGTGTGGGCGAAAATATTTTTTTTGACACAATTGGCCATGTTGTTCAAATTTTCCTATCCTTGCTTGCAAGGTATTTCGATGGTAACCGCGTTCTGTAATTTGTTATACATATATGATATATCTGATTCCGCAAAAGTTTTTAGGGAGATCTTAATTTGTTGGCAGTGTGGTAAAAAGTCTAGAGTTCTTTCTATTGTGGCCAGGTATTTCCAAATGTATTATGTCTGAAATCCCAAGATATGTCATATTAATTTTCGAATTCCTGATTGAGAACCTGTAAAATCTCCGATAATCGCCAACACGTCATTGCGAAGTTTTCCGTCCCGTCGTAAGGAAGAATAGCTAGTCAAAACCAGGATAGCTCAACTTAACCTGGTACAAGATAGCTATTTTGATTAGTAATCTCTTTGCTGTTACTTTAGTAACTCAGAAAAGGCCTAACTTGTCCTCCGATAAAAATAATTTTATTAATTGAATTACATCGGCATGTCTGAATTTGTATCAGCCCGTTTGATTTAAAGTTCGTGAACGATTAGATTTTTAAATCCGTCAGTGGGCGCCGTTGAGTATCGGAGCTTTTTTCTTTTTCTCTCGAATTCAGTTTGCGGAAATACGTCATTCTCTCGAAATACAATTTGGCGAGGTCTTGTTTGTCACAAGAAAAATTAATGGCGGACGCCCTTCAGCCGCTTGCGTGAGTGTTATTAAACTAAAAAACTAAATACTTATTAAATATGTGACATAGTGCATTAAAGAGGCGAAATCGGTGTTGCCTAATAGCAAAGCAATCGCAAACAGACACATATAATAATACAATTCATTTTCCGTCGTTTTTACATGTAAGATATTGGCCCAGTTCACACTAAAATGGCGATTATTTCACTCTCGACAAGAGTATACACGTCGAAACGCGCCGCATTTGTGACTGAGCTTTCGCTAAATAAATACTACGGTTGTTACATGTGGTATGAGTTTATTTCGATGCCATGAACTGCGCTAACGGTAAAATGAAATATCTGTTAAAAGCAAAATTAAGATTTACAAATCAGGGCAGGCCTTTCCACGTGGATTATGTATTTCTGTAATAGCAATAACCGTCCACCTATTTCCACTGCTTACAAGCCTATTCTATTATCTAAAGCCTGATGAGACGTTGATCGTTTGTTTTTACTTAATCATCAATGTGTGTCGTGTAGTATTGATTTTGTGTGTCGAGAAACTTGGGCCACAAAGAAATAAGTTTTAAAAAAAAAAGCCGTGCGTAGTGGATTTCTCAATTGCTAACTGATTTCACTTACCTCAGGTATTGAATGAGCACGTAACTTTAGTTTCATCAACTCATCCTAGTAAATTTCAGGCACCTCCATTCACAATTCAACATCATCATTTCTTTGTCCAGAGCCTTTTTTCCTCGCGGAATTGAAAATTTGTGACTGCACCCGTAGGAAGTCTAATGATAAATTAAAAGATTGTGATATTGGTATATGTTTTAACACAGTAAATTTTAAGCATCTACATTCACAATTTTACATTTAAGTTCCTCCTTCTAAAGCTTTTTCCCCGTGAGTTTTTGAGCACTTATAGAAGTGAATATATCAAAATTTGTTTTGTTATCTGCTCTATCTGATTAGGCAGTTTTAGGACCAAAATTACTCAGAAATAAAGATAAAATTGGGTTCTGATTTTTCACAAAGTATTAAATATACACCCAGGAAAAAGGTGTTCTTGAAGACTGTATCTGATCATAGTTTGAAGCAATATTAACTAAGTATTTCAATAAAAACACACAGGGATTTTAAAATCATAAAAAAACGCTTTGTGGTCTCCAAAATACAGTACATAGGGGACAGCAAGTTGAACCATCAGAAGTGTTGGCATCGCAGGTTGAAGAAATTTCATGACCCTGGCTGTGTTAGGATTAGCTAGGCAATGCCGGACCTTCCATTAAATGTGCTCCTTTCCTAGTAGTTTCTCAGGAGTTTGAAGTGAAATATATATAGGGGTTCTAGTCTTGAATTTTTTTAAAATTTAAAAAGGGATTTATTGATACCATATATTTTTTTGGCCCTAACAGATCTATCAAATGAAGTAAAAATACCTAATAACTGATTAAAAAACAACAAACCTGGTTAAGATATATTGAGAACTGACTTTATAACGAAATTGTAAAAGGACTATATTGACACCCTATATATTCATGGTATTAAAAAAGTATTGCTTCATTTGTGTCTCAAAATTTGAAGGGAAGTCAAAGCGACTCCACCTACTGTTTTCTTCACCAACATCCATTTTATTATCCATCTTTATACCAAGTGTATATATTTACCAGTGTTCCTATATTTACCTCACTCTAGAATGTTATCTACCCCAAGCTGGTACTATAGTTTTCATCAACCCTACTGGATGTCAATCATTTTTATATGAATTGTCGATAAACGATTAATTGGCGCCATTTTGGTGTGCGATCTCACTTTACATGATCTCTATAACATAAAGCAGGGATGTGCAATGTGGCCCACGCGCCAAATCTGGCCCACAGGGAATAATTGTGCGACCCGCAGAGAAGTGCCAATTTTGACTAGTGTGGGGCCGTGAAACTAGTTTTTAACTAGTATGTGCAAGTAATTCCAATTCCTTAGTGTTGCAAGGGTTAGGCCATAATTTTATTTCGATTTCCTTTATTTTGGTTCTATTGCGAGTTCGGGGACTGTTTGGGTTAGTCCTAAGCTTCCGTCTTTTTGCACAACTTGATGTGAAGTAGGCGAACAAAATTAGTCACCTCCATATTGGTACACATACTTCTGAAGCGCCGAAAGTTGCACACTCCTGACCCAAAGGCCTCTTAACCTTAATTGATATCGCATACCACTTAATTTGTACGTATACTAACCTGCACTAAATAGACATCTTTATTGAGGTAGATGTCGCACTTCGTAGCACCAAGTTGCATTATTGTATTTCAATTTTTAAACAAATTTATCAATTTTTAACTGTTCTTTTAATTACAGTAAACATGACCAAGATACCCTACCATGAATTCATGTCCCGTATTCAAGTTGACAGCCCTTTTGATCATGGTATTATTTCATGCGTGTCAGTGTGTTACCACCGGTGTTAAGGGGGTGATTTATCATGCAATATGTTGACCTTCAAGTATTTTATTCAAGGTCAAGCTAGATTCCCAAACACACGGTGTTAAAACACAACACGTTTGTATTTTTGCCTCCGATTACCCTTCACAGATTAGCGGAATTGAATCTAATATGGGCGAGAGGATTGCTGGACTCCTTGCTGTCGCAGGGTGGTTCACGTAACTGCTAGTCAGTTACGGTTTTCTCCACCATCATGTCCATGCATTTGAAATAAACAACTGGCTAACTAATCCCATACCTGAAACGGACTGGTAACTGGTCTAGTGCTTGTGGTTTGCCATATGATTAAGCCATCGTATTGGCTTTCCTCTCCCTATGAATCCCATTCTATTACCTCAGATAATTGAGAATTTCAAATTAACCAAGCACACAGTTTCATAAGTTTGAAAATTTGCTATTTATTTCTTCTATATAATTTGTTTTTTCACTGTATATTTACCACAGCACTTTATATTTTTTTCAACTTTTTCACTGTGCTTTGTGTGTCTCACTGTATTTCAATATATTATTCATTGATATATTTTAAAAGAAATTGACCAAAGCAAGGTCCTAATCACTTACTCAGAGGGAAAGGAGACTCATCTCTGAGTATAGTTATGGGCACTCACTCAGAAGTAAAGGAGACTCATCTCTTAGCCAAGTTATGGGCACTCACTCACAAGTAATAGAGACTCCTCTCTGAGCATAGTTGCGGGTACTCACTCAATAGTTAAAGGAGACTCATCTCTGACAATTGAATTGAGTACGGTCCCGTTTTAAGTTGAATCTCAGAGTGATGTAATAAAGCAATGACATCATAGTGCAGAAAATGATGTCATAAGGGAATGTTGTCATGTCCAATGGTATTTCCCCTTGAAATGTTTCAAACACACTTTTTTGTTTGTGGAAACTTTCAGACTTATAGGGAATGTGGATTTGAATTTATGTTGGGAAACCCCCCTCTGCCAAATTTTTATGACAAACAATCTCTATTATTTCTTTTCGCATTTTTTTGTGCATTTTCCAGTATTTACTTTCAATTAAATAAATATACTACTGATGGATGCATTGTGTGTTTCAAACTACAAATAGGGTCTGGTCTGACATCAACAGATTATAGCATTTTCACATTTATGGATCGGTATTACAAATGTTTCCTGCGTGTAAACTCAATGCGCAAAAAATTAATTTCGATGTCAGTCTTAAGTTTTTAAAGTTTGGTTAAATAATTTATTTAAAGTTCCCGGACTGCAGAATATAATCAATTCTTATTTACGTACAACGCTGTGGTTTAAAAAACGTTCAACAAGGAGTACTGAAACATCTTGTATCCATAAAACCAATATAAAAGGTTTGACAAAAAATTTGAATAATTTGTCTTTTAAAACTTGGAATTTCAATATATTTGCAGTTTCTGCATGTCCTAGTAATGGTTGAATATTAATTATAGATGTCCAGAAAGAGACTTTGGCACAAAAAAAGAGAATTAAACGTTTTAGACTCGGCATAAAATGTCCCAAGACATGATAATTTAATTTAAATAACTGGATACATGAATATACCTTCAAGAGCAATAGCTGAATAATGATCGAGCCAAAACACCAAACATTTGAGAAATCCTTTTATGGTTAAAGATGGCGCAGAATACATCAACTTAGTAGCAATAATCCTTGCCTAACAGTTTATCTTGAAAACGCCGAGTCGAGTTGCTTTTCCCATTCTGTAAGATCCGTGAATTGCGTTGTTTATGTTCAGACCAGATCCTGTTATTTTATGTTTTCTTTTTTTTATCATTTATTTAATCAATTTGTATAATTTTCCAAATTGTTTTAAATTCTTGTCTTTTTTTCTTCCATAGTCAATGTTTCAACACAAAGTTTCAAAGATGCGCAACATCGAGAAATGATGATAGAACGTCAACTAATGAAAGGGGGAAAAGTTCCTTTAACACACGAGGGCGGTAGTAAAAATGGAGACTGGCGAAAACCCCTCCCTCTTGAAGGGTTGGAGTTACTAGCAGTAGCTGGATGTAACAGGTATTTCAAACGAAAATACGAAAATTTTATTTTGTATTGCCAAACGAGGGTCATATCAACCACTCCGGGTTTCTTCAAACTTATTTTATCATGACCTACTTGGCACGGCCCAATTTTTTCGCGACTCTCTGAAACCCAAATAAAATTTACTAATGCAGAAAATAGTAATAGAATAGACAATACGTTTAATGAGACCGATGTGCTTGCATATTCTCGAAAATAGATCAAATCTCGGCTTTATTTCGGTGATGGTAGGTCTCAGTACTGGTTCTAAATCTTTCAAATTTAATTGATATTTTGTTTTAACATAAGCTAGTGTTGAAAAATATATCATAGACCCCATTAAGCATAGTTGAGTCCTGCGCTCTAACAACTAGGCCGACAACGATTTTTATCAAAATTTCAATTTCTCTCCCAGTGTTGAGAAAGACATCCAGACTGAACGAGAGAAAACCGTCTTGATGGAGATATTCTTAACGAAGGACATGGTGCCGGACTCCCCTGCGGAACCTGATCCTGAACCGTACGAGATTGCGCAACCCAAGATTATTCCGTTTGAGGACGTAAGTTCGTTACATGAGATTGCCTAGGAATCGGCATATTTCATTTAATATTGGAGTCATGTTTTGGAGTACCCTGAACTGAAATGGGCCAAATCTGACCCGTTGGGTTTTAAATCTGGCTCGCCTGATGCTGCCACAACCAAACTAAAACCAAATTTTGATGTTTAGTTGAAAATAGCGGAATTTGTTGAGATCGCAATTAAATTTAGTTTTAGCATGAGGCTTATTGTTTTTCACTTTCGCTTTTGTAACACTGTAACTATTGTTTATAAAATGTAACTTTTTACGTCATATTTACATGGCCCAGTAGTCTAGGTGGGCACAATTTTTGGCCCCTGTTCCAAAAACCTTGCCCACCTCTGATATAGAGTTTAAATTTTTAACTTTTAGAAATATTTTCGAAAAAAATTTCAAATTTTTAGTTAGATATTAAAACCTTGGGGTTTCCCTGCTCGAGGGCCACTTTTTAATTCCCCACATCTTTCCTGCCTCGAATTCCTAAATAAAATTTTATATAATCCATCGACCTAAAAATGTACTTTATGGCAGTTAATGGCATGTCATGATTTTATTGTCGCAAAATCAAATTACTGATACAAAACGATCATTATTTCACCAAAAATTACTTTGAAGTTTCACTTGTTTGTAAGTTTATTTAAATTGTGGCGTGCTTTACTTGAGCACTCATGCTTTTCACAAGTCTATGTCAGAAAAAAACTTGAAGTTTTTACAATTTTAGGAAAATTCAATTGTCGAGGCCATGGAGCCTGAAACAGAGCCTGCTACGAATGCAACCGATCCGACAGATATTGTTAAGAATATGTTATCGGGAATACAACCACAAGGTGGCGGTACTGATCTTACAGAAAAACTGAAACAAATTCTGCAAACGGCTTCAGGTTAGTGTTTATTTGCAATCTTTATGACATAACAACTTCTAATCTCACATCAAGCGATAGTTACTAGGACTTCAGGGCATCGGTTCACAACTTGGGGGCGACAGAGAGTTTGGAGGGGGCCATAATGCTAAGTACCGAACCGATTTGACTTGCCCCTTGACTCTTTCTAGTTTCATTGCTTGATGGCGACCCCATATATTATATTAAAATTTTCCACAACCTCATTCCACGTTTAACAGTTTGAAAAATGAAAGCGTTCCGCTTCTCTGATTCTATGAATTCTCTCGAAATCAAGAGATTTACGTTTTACACTAGTTTTAATAAGTTGGTTTCGAATCAAAAGTCTAAAAACGTACAATAGATATAGTGATTTGTGTGAAATTAGTATACTCCTTGCGACACCAAAAAATCTTTTGTGCGCCTTTCTGCGGGGTCGCGACCCCAGTTTGGGACGCCCTAGTCTACACCATGTCTGCTTGGTTTCTCAGGGTATATTATTCTGAAAAAGTTAGGAATCCACTGCGTTGGATTGAAAAATTAACTCAATATTATCTATTGCAGCGATTAAATCACCAGGGGAGGACAAGAATCCGTCGTCTGGCTCCACCCAGCAGCCTGTCGCACAACAACCTATGCAACCAGCAATGATGTGGAATGGTGTTCCTCCCCAGGGGAATCCCCAACTGCAACCCATGGACATGAATGGCCAACCTATCCAAGGGCAAATGGGATTCTATAATGCCCCGATGATGGTCCCAGTGCCTTATGGACCTGGGGGATGGAATGGGCCCCCGCCCCCAAACCCTCATGGAATGCCACCACAACACATGGGTCCCCCACAATTTAATAACAATAATTATAATCCAAGATGGAATAGACCACCACCGCCATCTAGTGGATCATCTCGATGGAGGAATGAAAATCCGAGAGGTGAGAATCTACGATTTTATTGGTTGTTTTATCAAAGTTAAATTATGGCAAGGCTCTCGACTATGAGCTGAAAAAGTACTAATAAAAGAATTGCAAAATACCCTAAGATGTACCTGCATATGAACAGACTCCATGAAATGGTGAATTTATAGAAAATTTGGTACTCCAGAAGTATGTGAACAAAATTTGCATAATACCCGACCCTACAAATCGTAACACGCCGCCCGTCACCTATCACAGCAAATGGTTGCAGAAAGAATCAATGATAATGGTATCCATCATTGTTATGTTTCACTTTCATTAATAACAGTAAAAAGTTGTGTCAAAATCTTTCAAATATGCGGGTATAAGTCGAATTTTTAGTGCGATCAGAGTTATGCATGTAAAAGTCGACCTTGTAGTTTGCCAACTTTGTTTTGAACTCTGCTTTTATGCGAGGATATACTATATATACATGCTTCTGACAGAGTAGATAGTGATTGGCACGGGCAAACAGTTCAAATCAGTCCGTCAGGGAAAAAAACTTAGGGACAAAAATTGTAGCGATGTATTCATTAAGTTCATTTTCACAGGTCGTCGTGGCGATTGGAGAGGAAGATATGATGACAGGAGACGTCGATAACACACAGTCGTTCGCAAATATTCTTCTCTGCATTCGCATCGTCAAATGTTTATTTATCCCATAATGGGCGAACATAAGCATTATCAATGTGGGGGAGCAAAAGTGTATGACATCACACTACACAATGTGACGTCATAATAGCAAAGTAAACATCTTGAAAACTCTTGAATTTGCAAAAGGGGAACAGGTCCTTTCATACGCTATCTTGGATGGACGTTTCCGCTGTACTTCTAAGACTGCTTTGAGACTATACAGGGAACATATTTTAGTTCCATGGCAACAATGCACGGAAGTGAAAGACTGCTTCGAGTCTATTTGCTTCTGAAAGTTTCCACTGAGACTCGTTTGAGCTCGACCCATGGCCAATTCATAGACGATGGATATTTCTAGAAATACTGAACCACTGTGACCACTAGGGGGTGTTTGACATTTTGTTCATGGGATTCGAATTACTAACCCCCCTCTCCTTGGGCCCCATTGTTACCCATAGTGCCATCTTGTGTAGAAATAATGTGATAGGACTCATCCTATTTATCCCGGCGGAAAGAAAAGCTGTAAGATAGCTTGTTTACATAGCAAGCCAGATAGCTTGTAGAGCTTGCCCGGTTACCAGTCCAGGTCAGACATGGGTAGGGCTGATCATGTGTTCTAGATGCTTTAATGGCACCGCAAACAATCAGTGTCCGCATGAACCACTCTTGGAAAGGTAGAGTCCACCAATCACCACCATATAATCGTTCTGACAGGATTCGAACCCACGAAGGATAAATAATGGGTGATTGGCAATATAATGTCCATCACGACACGATATGTCAGCTAGACGGACGTATATACACTTACTGTATGACGATATATATGGTTTGGATTACAAAATCATTCGCTGATCATTATACCAATAGTGCCATCTTGTGGACACGGACATTTCAATCTTGGCAAAACTTATTTGAACTAAACATTTGCGCTGTGTTAAAACCGAGGTTTTATTTCCCGTCCATAGCAAGACCTTTCCTCACCACTATCATGTGTTATTTCGTTCCATTCTTTGCTGCTTCCATTCTTTTTTATTTTTCATCAGAAAATTCTATTTTTTTTAATAAATCGAAGGTGCAACTCGATTGACTTCACAAAATTACGCAGACAGATCGCGGAGTAAGATGAGTTTTTGTGATTCGTAGAATGTGGCCTGACATTGAGTATACTTGCGGATGTCTACTCAGATTAAATTTATCAAGGCAGTAAATTAACTAGGATTACAAATATATAGGGTGTCCATAAAGTCTAAATTTTTAAAATTGCAAAGGAAATTTATCGATACCATATATTGTTTTGGTCCTGACAGATGTATTAAATGAAGTAAAAATACCTAAACAATTACTGATTGAAAACCTGGTTAGGATATATTGAGAACTGACTTCATAACGAAATTGAAATTGTAAAGGGACTTTATGGACACCCTGTATATCAACCCCTGTCTGATGAAGCTCGTCTGTACGAACAATCGAAACTTCGTTTTGCAATCGATAACCCTGGCGCCAAAAACTCACTATTTGACTTCAGCCTTTGTTTGTGTGTGATCAGTGCCCTTCCCACGCTGTGGATTCTGGCATAATTCGCATCCTCCTCCGAAATCTGAGTCATTTGAAAACGATTTCTGTGTTGTTGAAAGTTTTAATTCGGCCTCAGGGAAACCCTGTCTGATGAAGCTCGTCTGTACGAACAATCGAAACTTCGTTTTGCAATCGATAACCCTGGCGCCAAAAACTCACTATTTGACTTCAGCCTTTGTTTGTGTGTGATCAGTGCCCTTCCCACGCTGTGGATTCTGGCATAATTCGCATCCTCCTCCGAAATCTGAGTCATTTGAAAACGATTTCTGTGTTGTTGAAAGTTTTAATTCGGCCTCAGGGAAACCCTAATTCTGATAACAAGATTTTTGCTTGTTAAGGCTTTTTAAGTTTCTTTGGATAATTCTGACTTCAGCATTGAATTTTGAAATTCCCACTCCTGCGAGTTTAAAAATTCGGCACTAATACAGACCTGTACTGTTGCCAGATTTTAAAAGATCTGATAGACTGACTGAGAGTTCTGCAGAATGTGGCTTGAAAAACACTCAAATCGCTAATTGGCCTTAAGATCCGCTGGTTAGGAAATAAAAAGTTTCGATTCGCGTTATGCAATGAGTTATAAAAGAAAACTTGACATCCTAAAGGAAAAATGGCTGTTTTGGAACGTTATGTTGATATTCTGCGTTGGTATGGATACACCCACTAGATGGCGCATTTGTCACGGCACCGAATATTTACTTTCGTGCGAAGAAACACCGACTAATCCGAGGGTTCTATTTTCAAGGTTTTTACCGCAGATGATGCGTCTGCGTAGCTGTGTCATTTGTTTCACTAAACCAGCACTCGCGGCTCCTTTTAAATTAGTTAATACAATTTTATTCCGATTTCTGTTCAAGTCCATGTATCTGAAAACAAAAAACTGGCTAACTAATATCATAATCGACATGGGCCGTTAACCGGACGAGAGGCCGTGATTGGACCGTCTTATCGGCTTTTCTCTCCCTGGAATAAATATGTAAATCCTATCTTTCGTGTGATACAGCGCAATAAACTGTCGGGTGCAAAGAAATGTTAAGAAAAAACATAAATTTAAATCGAGAAGTACGATTTCATCCCAACTCTTCCGTAATCTAAATTCCAATTATACAAAGTTCAAAAACCCTCGTTTTGTGAAGTTCGAATCAAAATCATTATCACTGCAATTTACCTGCAACCAGAACTGTACGACCTCGTTTCCGGCTTCAGATATTTTTTTGAAGAATCAATCACCTTCAGATCATGTCACAGACTCAATACGCACATGACGCTATTTTAGCCCATAGCTGGACGTTTAGACCAGGGCTTCCCAAACTTTTAAGCTCGCAACTCCTTCCAATATATAAAAATTTTTGGGGACTCCTGGTCGGCATTGTTATGCAAGCGCTCTTCTTCTCGTGTCATACAATCAAAGTTGGCATTGGTATGCAGGCGCAATGCTTCTTTGATTCTATGTATTCTCTCGAAATTGTGAGATTTATGTTTTTCATTAGTTTTAATAATTGTGTTTCAAATCAACGTCTAAAAAAGTAAGTAAATATATATAATACTCCCGTAAAATTGTTGTACTCTTTGCGACCCCTAAAATTTGTTGGGAAGCTCCGTTTCAGACTACCGACTGTCATTTCTGGTCAATCGCGAGCATCTTTGGGTCAAAAGCGATACTTCCCGACAGATGACTTCCATTTTAGATTACCGTCTGCTGTTTCCGATTAATGGCGGCTTTTCTCAGTAAATGAAGACTCTTTATGACCAGTTGCCGCGCTTTTGGGGGAATTGGAAGTCATTTCGATTAGTGCCAAGCATTTTATTTTGAGATCTCTTGATCTTATTCGGGCCGATTTACCGCGATCTGTTTGCGACCTTGCACTTCGGAAAAAACTCAGTCATTCAACTAGAATTCGACTATGACTGGATTGTACTTGTCGAGTCTGGATTGTTAAATTACAACATTTTTTTCGTGATGTTGACATTTTTTGTCTAATTTTTTTTTCATTTTAATCGTAAATTATTGGGTAAAATAAACCAAAACACGTTGCATATTGATATATATTGTTCACGAAATAAAAAAAAAAATGGAATGAGGCAGATTAATTTTTAACTGTGTGAAGATTACATAGCTATGGAAATGTTCAGGAATCCGTCATTACTATTTTCAGGAAGTCATACATTTTTGAGAAAAATATTCAAAAAATACGGTTTTTAGGATGTGGATTAGCCTACACTATGCAGGATGTCCATAAAGTCCCTTTACAATTTCAATTTTGTTATGAAGTCAGTTCTAAATATATCTTTTTTTTTTAATCAGTAATTGTTCAAGTATTTTTACTTCATTTATCTGTGAGTGCCAAAACAGTATATGGTATCAATAAATTACCGTTGCAATTTTGACAATTTCAAGACTTTATGGACACCCTATATTACGCTGAGTCACGTTTATGTTCTGTCTAACAGCGTCAGACTTGTGTCATTTAAAGTAGAGATGTGCAACTTAACTACATGAGGCCCGGTCAAACAAATAACCTGGTGAAACCGCGGTCGCAACTTTATTTACCTGCAGGTTTTCTAGTAGTTGCAGCTGCAAAAAGTTTGGTTATTGATCCTATGGCATGCGTTGTTCGTTTCGCACAATCTAGCTGTTAGGGCATTGTAACGTCACAGGCATAGGTAATAAATTGGACTCAGGTATATGCCTGGAATTACTCGCAGGTTATTCCCCTGATTTACTGGATAAACCGAAGTACGAAAGTTCTTGTGTTTTCTGACGGACTGTGAATGAATTTCAACTTGTCAGACTCGACTAAGGGGGTCGCGATGACTAAGCGGTTAAAGCGTTGGTCCTATCAGAAAGATTTCCGTGAATTCTAAAATTATAGAGTTTTAAATATCAGTGCAATATTTCGAAATAAAAAAAACGTAGGTATTAATTTATTTTAGATCTTTATTTTTGGGGAGGTGAGGATGTACAAGTTTGCTAGTTAGTAAGTCTAACCAACTCCATTTTAAAATACTCTGGCGGTCTTTTATTAGGTACGAAGGTGGACTAGGCTGGTAAACTACGCATTCGCGGTTTTAAGTTAATATTAGAAATAAGTCCTTGTTATAAAGCAGCTGTACTCAAACTTTTTAAGCCGCGCCCTCTTTTTAGAATTTGCCAAGTCTCGCACTCCACCTAAAAATTAACAGTAAGCTAACAATAAGCTACAAATAACAGATAGTAAGGTGAAAGCAATATAACAGATAATAAAAATAACGACAAGCACAGCAGCTCTCTGCAATCTCTAAAAAATAAAGGAAAAAAATATCAAAAATAAGGCGGGCAAGAACAAATCTAAAAATATTTTTATTTTTAATTAGCTCCAAGCCCCTCAAAATATGTCTACGCTCTTTATCGTGTCCCACCGTTTGAGAACAACTGTTATAAAGAGATTGCATGGTTTTCTTATGCTATCACAAATACTTGTTTTACAGCAAAATGCTCTTGCGGCGAATTGTCCTATGCGATGAAATTTCGTACACAAATTTTCAGGCCACGAACAGTGCTTTCTACCTGCTCAAATTATGCTGAGTCACGTTTCACAAGCTTTGGTATAATTTTGCCGAATAACGTTTTGCGCTTAGCATTGTGACCCCTCTACAACTGCTCTGTCGCCCCCTTGGTGAGTTGCGGGCCCCGGTTGGAAATCGCTGGTTTAGGACTAAAGATCTAAGTGTGCTTTCTAGCTGTTCAAATTATGCTGAGTCACATTTTACATCCTTTGGTAGTATTTTGCTGAGTAACGTTTTATTTGAACTTTATAAAGGTTAATTATGCCAAGTCATATTTATGAGTCTCCTAGCACAGTTGAATTTCATTTGCCTAATGTGGGCAAAGCAAAGCACTCAATTATCAAACTACTACTAAACTAAGTTTATTTCAGAGATTCTCTCCAATATACCTGCCCTAACCCAAGATATGGTAGGCGTGGTCATTTTTTCACGCATGAGTAATTTCCTATTTTACGGTTCATTTCCTTTTCTGGTGGCTTCCCATAAATTGAAAAAATAATAACAAACTTACAAATGATCGAATCAATATTTATTATTATTTTCGGTTATATACAGAAATCACATGTAGTGAGCTATGAATTTTTTTTTTTTTACAGCTATGAATTTTTTTTTCTGAGCAAAATGTTTCAATAGACAAGCCGACCAATTCAAGGCATGGGTTATACGGTTAATAATATTAAAGGAATAATATAAGTAAGTAATAAAAGTGAGAACTCTTTGTCGTTTATATCATTCAGTCCGTCAACGAAGTTCTGTAAGGGTTTGAGCTAGTTTTATATTTCACAGATGACACCGGGGCTTTTCAAGGATGGTGGAAAATTGTAAATTCCCTGACGAGAAGACTCTGGATCTTTATTGACCTGAAAAACAACATTTGTGTACGATGCATGGGTTATCGGATATTTTGGAAACCACACTTCTGTTGCTATAGTGCTTGGTTCGCCACTTGCCTGCAAAAGCTGATCGTTCTGTAACAATTGAAAGAAAAGTTTTAAAATATGTTTGTTGAAATGTTAATGTGACTCACGCAGTGATTTTCCTGCGAGTCACAAATAGTTTTATTACTAATAACAAAATGTCTGTTTACGACTGACATATTAGATGAAGAATGAAAATATTTGCTTTCAGTAATGAGTTTTATAGTAAAGGTAGTCATCATAGACGAAGTATGGCAAGTGATGTGTAAGAACCACATGAAAATGAGTGAAAACCATAAATTATTGGAAATATCACAAATTCTAAAATATTTGGCAATACCAGAATATTAATGACATGGTTCGTCTATGAAGTCACAATATATTTGAAATTGCAATCATATTGCGTTTTTCTAATTATGCAATCTCTTAATAAATCATAAGGCGTCGTTAACCTGCTCATTACTTGTTAATTTCATTGAAGATAGGCTTTGCGTCAACCTTGTACCCGGTGAAGTTTACAAAAATGAGTCTGCTGAGATTGTGATCTATTAACTGACCTTATACTCCATCCCAGTCCAGATGTCAATAAATTCCTCACCAGCAGGGATCATTGAGCGAAGATAAGAGAGCAGTGACTGGTAATGCGCGAGGTCGTAAATGTTCGCGGGTTTCCCGTTCGTTGATTTGCAGGTTTTTTCGGCGTCATTGAGTGTGACGAGGTCTGTGCGATACACAACTGCTCGGAAGCATTTTGTCTTATATGTGACGTCACATTTAACTGAAAATACCATTATTGTTGTCATTGAATCTTTTATAATAAAATTTCAGAATATTTTAACGATCTGGGATTGAGATTTTGTCGCTTTGCTTATTCAAGAGACCTCCTTTAAAAATAGAAATTTGGAAATTCCGCAATCTAATAATGATAAAACGAAAAATAAATAAAACGACAGAACAAATCTGTTTCAGCTGTCTAATAGTATACATGGTAGGTGGGCGAAGTCGTAACAGACTAGGGGTTGTGTTAATCACCCAGTGACAAATCAGGGTTCAATACTTGAAATCGTAAGTGAATTAAATACTTATACTAAGACGGGTGTGGCATATTCCATAGTCTAATTATAAATCAGAAAACATAAATATAAATTACTTTCAGCTTTTTTCTTTTCATCAAGACTCTTCTGGATCAATTTTGCGATTTCTGTAAATAAATGACATATTTTATTTGTGTGTAGGGTAAGGGTGAGACGTTTTCATCATATAATATTGTTCACAATTTTTTTTTCATCGACGAATTTGTTTAACTTTTAACCACAGTATACTTCGACTATCTTGCACGCCGAGAATAATTTTTGACCATCACATAATTACGACTAACGTAGCGCCTTGTAGCGCCACCTCGAGGCAATGCTGTCCTAGTATAAAAGCGTTTACCTGTGTACGTTTCTTAAATTTTAATTAATACAGCTATTGCAAGGTAGCCGCTGACAAGTAGACCGAATGGTCATTTCGCGGCCATCCTGTCCGCTCTGGGCAAAGGCATGCATATTTTTTCAATTTTGCTTCAATTTTTATTGTGCCCGTTTGCCTGGACGGCTAATAAAAAACGATTTGATTGATTGATTGACTCAAAGGTCTGTCATACGTTTACGGTGACGGAGGTATTTTCATATATCATGAAGTAGGGCGAACTCACCGGATCCATCGTCTTTCTGTGAAATGAATAAAAAAAAAATTCAGATGATTAGTGAAGTGAATATAACACGTAAGTTATATTAGATTATATTAGTCGCGTGACACGAAAAAGACAGATTTAAAATTGGGCAGGCAATTCAGAAAAAAAGCTTTAAGTTCTTCAAAAATGGCAGTTCCAAGAGTATAAATGACCGCTTTCCTAAAGCCTTACTTGGAGACAAAATGTGTAAACACCTGATATAAAATAGAAACAAAAATTTACCTTGCAATCTCCAACTTGGACAAGTTTTCCATTCACGATCTTGGAAACGCAGGATCCAGCTGACAAAATGAAACGTGATATTTTTAAGTTCAATTTAACGACATCTTGTGCCAAAATTATATAAGTTGCTACACTATAAATGTAGTATATTTTGCGAATGATTTAAAAGGCTCTTATATTTAACAATTTTTGGTACCAGAAGACGGATAAATTATTTAATAATTTTATCTGATTAACCTTACCCGGTATTTTTAGCTTCGCATACAAGCCACAGATGAGAGAGATGAACAAAATAATTTTGACGAAGTCCATGTCTGCTTCTGGAAAGGTTTGACGACGCAACCAAATACTTAGCTATAAAGTAAATATCTGTAAAAATATGTGAGGTCATTGTTGGTTTACTAACGAATAATTAGCTGTATTAATTGGCATTTTCGTGGTAGGTTTAGTTTTAAAAAATGCAGTGACAATAAATAATATTTAACTAGGTACGATATAAGTTCATGAGCCACTTAAAAATTTAAATTAAAAAATAACTCGAAGGTTTTTGATTTTGAATAACGCGGCTCGTAAATTTGCATGGCCCTGCTTGGGTTGCGCATGATCTAACAAACTAAACTGAACGAATCACAAATATCAAACATACATTACTATTCAGACGACTATGAGCTACTCAGAAGATCTGTCACTTAAACATTTTCACATCACATCTGCTAGATTCACACATTCCTGCCCCTGTTTAATTTATACTTGCCAGTCCTCAAGCCGTTTATGTGATACAAGACGTCGAGCGATGTTTACGCGTTTTGTCGCTGTTGCCTTCTTAGTAAAACGCCCTTCATGCAGCAACCATCTTCGTCATTTCCTACATCGAAATCTTTCGCGGACAAAAATTTAGACTGAGTCATCCATTGTGATTGCGCAAAAAAAAATCCAGTTTGCGTTATCGTTTTGCATTTTATCGACATCGGAATTTTTCTGGTTTCGCGTGATTTCCTAGCGCTACATTTTTTACGTGATTCGTGGGGATATTCAGCATACAAAATCAAAACAAAGTAACCATTCAGTTTAGCCTCAAATGAAAATGACCTCATGAAGGAAGCCAATTAAACCTCTAAATCAGGAGTCGGCAACCTTTTGTCGCTCGCGGGCCAAAATTAAGGTTGCAAGTTATTAATGCGCGCACATATTTTTAGAAAGTTGAAAAACCGAACGGATGGTACTTTTCATAATAAACATCAAGTAGTGATACATCTCTCTAATAGAATATTTATTTATTTCCTCATTGCATCTCATAAAATCCCATTTGAATATTTTCAGCGCCATTAAACCATTTGCACTTAGCATCAACTTTTCTGCGTTTTGTTGCCATTTGCTTAATTATAATTAAATTATATGCTCATTAAACGAGTAATTGTGAATTATATAATTGTTAGGTTTTAATATAATTTAGTCTAAAGAATATATTCGTCAAAACGAATGTTTTGTTACTATAATTTAGTGAAGCGTCGCGGGCCGGATTATAGTGCTCCGCGGGCCGGATCCGGCCCGCGGGCCGTAGGTTGACGACCCCTGCTCTAAATGTTCTATAAATTTATATTCGAAGTATTCGTTTTAATTTAGATCAATCTAGCTCAATCTATCGTAAAGCTGTGTTCTCGGCAAAGATGTGTTGCCTCTCATGAAAACAATTTATAAATTAATCAATTTTAAATAACCTTTGACCCGATAAAAATCTTGGAGCACCGTACGTTACCTGCTTTAGCAAATTTCGCCACCGGTATGTCGAAATGCAAAAGGTTTTCATTGTACGGTACTGCGTTGGTCATTTCACATAGCTATATTTAACTGTAAAAAGGTATAACAGAATAATTAACTCACTGAAGAGTGAAAGAATGGTATTTCTTTGCAGAAGTAGCCTAATATTGAAAAAGCATGTTCAAATATTCACAATGCCATTTCAGCAAATTATGTGAAAAGCTTTAGTTATAAATTAATGTGGAATATTTGGGTCTCATGTACTTTCGTACCTAACGTACTTCTAGTAGGCCTAGCATAACACTTTTTTCACGTGTCAATCCTAACCCCCACCTGACCACACCAAAAATTACGTCACTACGACTTCACAGTGACGTAATAGAGTCTTTCAAACTATGCGAACTGTCATACAAGACGCGCAGACGAGAACCCGAAATCGAACAGCCATTTCTTTCGTTTTCTAGTCGCGACGATCCCGATCGCTGACGTTAGTCAGTTCTTTATCGTCGGCGCCGGTGCCATTTCGGGCGATCGTACGAGTATTTGGCAAGCTCTATGACGCGATTGTGACGTCGTAGTGACGTAATTTTTGGATGGCGTAGTCTGATGAGGGTTAGGATTGACATGTCAAAAGATTGTTATGCTACGCCTACTAGAAGTGGGTTAGGTACAAAACTACACGATACCCGAATATTTTGCCACTCAAATGTGTATCTAGAATTATATTTATTGCTGGTAATGATTTGTGTGTTATGTGTGATATAGAAACAGAATTAGTATCAAATTTGTTTATGAATTGTCCGTTTGCTGGTTCGTAAAACAAGTATCTGAATTTGTTTTTTTGATTATAATGAAAATAACTGACAGAAACAATTCAATTGATTATGAAACTTATTAGATTTGAGTAACCCTTATTATGAACATTTATCAAACGTAGAAAAAAATGCTATTATTTTGCTATTGTCTATGACTAGGTCCATGTTCACAACACGCCGTAAGTGCTTCTAGTTGGCGTGACACAGCCATATTTGCATATGTTATTCCTAATCCCCACCTGACTACGTCCTTCAAAATTTACGTCACGACGACGTCACAGAAACGTAGCAAGAACCTCCGCACGATACTAACTGCCATCAAAGGCGCGCAGACGATAATCCTAAATCGAGCAAGCTATTTCTCTCGTTTTCTCGTCGTAACGATCCTGATATGAGAGAGATCGCTGGCGTGAGTGAGTTCTTTATCGCAGATGTCATTTCGGGCGATCGTAGGTACAATTTGGCAAGCTCTATGACGTGTTTGTGACGTCGTAGTGACGCAATATTTGGATGGCGTAGTCAGGGGGGGGGGGGGGGGTTAGGATTGACATTTGCAAAAATGGTTGTGCCACGCCAATTGGAAGTACTTACGGCATTTAGTGAACATGCGTCTAAGATTCGGTTGCATCAAAATGCAGTAATGTTTCAAAATGTTATGCCAAGTGTTAATATTGTAATAGACAGTCTAAAATGCTTTAAAATGTAGAAATAGAGTAAAGAAACTTAGAATATTACCTAATTTCAGGTGACGAAGATGCGGCTCGCCACAGAATTTCTTGCGACCCGCAAAGCATTCAGGCGATTGAGTGTATGTTTAACTCAAAGTCATAAACCTTTAAGGACTGTACAGAAAAAAACGGGAGCGCTCATATCACTTATATTACTGGTAACGCCATTTCCAATACATCTTGTTTTGTTTGATCATCGATACATTTAACAATGGATCAATATAACCATTGTGTTAGCTTAGTTACGCTGTCTTATCGGCAAACGCATAGGTGTTAATGAAGGAGGGGTAACCTTACTTTGTGAAAATGTAATGTTTTGGCGCACGATACACGGGACATCTGAAAGTAATAAAAAGTATATGACTTCAGCTCAATGATTAAAACAATGGAAGATATTGAAAAATGCGTACATTTCAAAAATCGGTTAATTGCCACAGGATGGATTCGTTTATAATTTCTGTATTGCGCAGCCTTACAAACTACAGATCTTTTGTACAAAGCCCTCGCCAGTAATGCAAAAATGTGAAATTTGAGAAAGACACTACGTTCTGAAATAACAAATTAGTAATTATCCAGTTGCGATGCCGGTTCGGGTTACGAATGTTTTTAAAATTTGAATTTTCAGCGCAATCTACATTCCTAGCCCTCACCCTAAAACCGTTATTGGATTATTTATAATTTTTTTTTTCCTATTTTGAGCGAAGGCGGTGGTGTTTTTAATGACGGGGGCTTCGTACATAAGATCTCGAAAAACTTATCTGAAGAATTATTAACTGGAATTTTGCATATCAACCCGACACAAAATGTCGGAAGGGTCGATAAGACTTGAAATACGTTTTCGTTAGAATTCCCAAAGAGGGGGAGGGGAATAAATCAGATATATATTCGGAAATTCCCATGAAACTGTCGCCGTAATTAGGCAGCCGAATTGTGAAATAGCCCACTTTTTCGATGGATAATGTTTTTCTGTTATGTTGTCGGGTATTGATTTTACAGTTGGGCAAAGTATTCATTTGACGACCAATACGATTCCATTTATGATGTCTTTGGTTTATTAATTTAATTGTGTGTTTATTGTAACCTGCGGTTGCATCGACAAAAGAACATTACTATGAAATATCATGGCAATTCACGGCCGTAAAAAGTGTTTCAAACTGCCCGATTGTATCTAGTTTTGATTCGTATTTTTGCGATGTTACTAATTTTACGAATTTGATCTGTTCTTGCAACACTGACTCCGCTTTATCACAATGCTACCACCCAAGAATATTTTCCAGATATCAACGTTAGGAAAATCCTAAGATCTGCGATAAAATATCAAAGACTACGATTTTGTAGTACAATATAACTAATTCTACAGTGATACCCCGGTAGTCGACCAAAACATTTGAGTCATAAATTTTGCTGTATTCGAACGGAAATTCGAATCTCGAACACCAGAACCGAGCGGAGCTCGCAGGCTGAGTGAGATGGCGCCACCCGAAACTGAACTCGATCAATACAGGTCATTTCACGTTTACCTTGAATGAGCAAAAGTAAGACAGCTATTGAAAAGAGAGCTACAGAGGGCAAAAAGTGTTAGGAGAGGTTTAGTGCAGGACCACCAACAGATCATGCACTCAATTATCTTATCATCAATATATTTTCTGGATTTTATTCTATAGATAATAATGTGATATTTTCATGACAATATTTTTGCTAAAAAACAACTTATTCTGTGATTTATAAAAAATAACTTATGTTTTATTTCAAGGTGCTCAACGTGTCAAAAGGTATTTTCTAGCGTGGCATCTTTGGCTCAACATATTCACAAACAAGGTAATATTTGCATAATTATAAACTCCTACATAAATTCCATGATTACTAATACAACTTCCACAACTCAAGTTAACATGAAGGGCAGATTTTTTTAAACACCATGGGATAAATCTGTCAAAATAATTTTGAATTTTTTTATTTTTAGGCAGAGATATTAGTGTGGGGAAAAATGTAATGGAAAATCATTTTTACCAAATGTGGTGAAATACTTACAATGGTTGCTGAAGAAAAGTCCTAAGTGATCAAATGTTA